TCATGAGAGATTTTTATGCCCTTACTATTAAAAAAAAAAAAAAAAGTTACCGGTGATAGTTCCCAGATTTCATTGGGGGTTAATGATCTCCAGTTAGTTACTGGAATTCCTACTAAGAACCAAAAAGCCACAGAAAATGAACTTCCAGAGGGATTCCTCGAAGAGCACATTGGAACAGGATTGGGCTGTATTGGCAGGACAGCTTTTTCCTGGTTTATACAGTTTCTGATTTTAGGAAAAAGTAAGACTGGCTCAAGTCTTTCACAGAAGTTTGCGTTGGCCACCTCTTCTCTGAACACTGATACACGCCAGCCCTGCTTTGTGGGAGGAGATGAGCACCCAGGTTGGAGGGACAGTGCTGATTCCTAATCTGGAAACAACCCATGGCCCAAGATAAGAACCAAGCACTGTGACAGGAGACGCGCTAAAAACACAACTCAAACCCCAAAAAGCTGCAGACACACTGCAACTAAGCTGGAACTAAGGAAATGGCTGGAGAATGTTTATTTCAGCACAGAATTTTTAAAGGCTCATGAATAAACTCGAGATGGTCCATATAAAACTTGCTCAAGTCGTCACCATTTTTGGAGGAAATCTCTGTGGTTTTCTTCCTGAGCTTCTCCCTACTGCTGGAGTAACCACACCTCAATTTTCGACTTATTATACCTTATATTTCATTGTAGAACAAAAAAGCATTATACACACTTGGTATTAACTACAAGTTATAATCTTTGTAACACAGCAAATCATTGGAAATACTCCAAATATCATTTTTGTATCCAATATAGTGTGAGGTGGCTTTTGGTATTGGTTCCCTGTAAAGTTATATGGGGAAATTAACTGACAAAAAAACCCACTTCATAAAATAAACTGCCAGCATCTTACTTTTATAAAAGTACTGTTTATAACATCATTTCAGTGGCACATTCAGGACATTTCTGGCTGCTCCTTCACCTCTGTTACTACTAAATCCCAGAAATAATTTGACTAAAAATAGGAACTTATATGAGAAACTGTAGAACTGGGCAAGACAACTACTACTGCAGTTATCTTGAAAGACACCAAACAGAAAGAGCAACTGTGGCTGAGTGGATCTCTTAATCCAAAACCCCTTCTGTTTACCAACGCCTACAAATTTGTTTGCTAGGAACATCAGGAGCAAGATTCAGGCTGCCCCAGGTTGGCAAGGCTGACTTTAAGGAACATGAAGTTGGGGAGGAACTGGAAGTTACAACCACCGTATCATAGAATCATAGAATTGCCCAGGCCGGAAGGGACCTCCAAAGGTCATCTAGTCCAACCTCCCCGCAGTCAGCAGGGACACCCCCAACTAGACCAGGTTGCCCAGGGCCTCGTCGAGCCTCACCACGAATATCTCCAGGGAAGGGGCCTCAACCACCTCCCTGGGCAACCTGTTCCAGTGCTCCACCACCCTCACAGTGAAGAACCCTCTCCTAATCTCCAGTCTAAGAGATCAGCACAGGATGTGTAAGAGGGTTATCAGAGCCATCCGTGGTTCTTAGGGGTCTGACATAATTGTGTTCCATCACCTACAAACTTCTATTTCTGATAATATTGTGATTCTCTGTTTTCGAAGCCACGAAACGTTGCTGATGAACTACTAAGAACCTGTGTGTCGTGCCATGGGGGTGACACTCACTGTCAATGCCAGGACCCTGCCCACCCCATGCTGTTCAGCCAAAACAAAATTATGGCTTCAGACCACGTTCCCCAACCTGCCTCAAAGCAGGATGTGCGGATGGGGGCCAGAAGTCAGGCAAGTTACTCAGAAAAACAAACATTAGAAAGGTGTTTGGTTTTCTTAAATGAAATGTCAGAGTTTACAATACATCAAGTTTTAAAAACGTCAGAAGTGTCCAAGGAGGTTTTTCCCCAGGAAGACAGGCGAGAGGCTGTCTGGCCGAGGGGAGCTGCCGTGAAGGCTGGCAGTGGAACAGACACCCAGTGTGCACACCAGCACCCGCCCCAGCGCCCCTGGAGATCAGAGCGCTCTGCTTTCCTCAGGGAAACTCTCAGGAATGCATCCATCTCACTGGAACAACACAAGAGCTGCTGTTCTATATATTTGGTGACATTCTTATTTAAATACTTCTTCCAAAACAATTTCCTGCCTTTAAAACTCTCTAAAAACATATATATACACCGAGACAGTTAAACAAGTTGAAAACGGTATGTAACAGAAAAAATTACACATGAATCTGAGGTATCCTTGCTTTTACGGAACAGAACTGTTTGCTTAGTCATATGTGACTGGCGAATTCTGTGATTATTTCTGTTTAAAACTCATTTAAAAGACATACAATTTGAAACTTCAAACACACTAGAAATAATGGTTTCATTCACGGTAAGAAGCTACAAAATCAAACTCAGTCAAATGAACTAGTTTTTGATCTTTCTCCCCTCTAAATGTGTCTGGAAAAGACATAATTTAACTTTCCTGGATTTTCCACCATGCTTCTTTCAGACGTCTCCATCCAGGATCTAAGAGTGAAGCTCTGCACAATTTGGGAAGTCAATTGGTTCAGGTTAGGGATAAAAGGAAAGAACACTCAAAGAAAAGTTTTACTCCCGTGAGACACTGGAACAGGTTGCCCAGGGAAGTTGTGGATGTCCCATCCCTGGAAGTGTTCAAGACCAGGTTGTGATGGAGCTTTGAGCAACCTGATCTAGTGGGAGGTGTCCCTGCCTGTGGCAAGAGGTTGGAACTAGATGATTTTCAAGGTCACTTCCAACCCAACCCATTCTATTGATTCTATGAACATCTCTCTCACTGGAAATACGCTGACATTTAATTTCCCGCTTTTATAGAGCAGGATCCCGCCTGATGTCGGATCATGAACTCTGGCTGTGGTGGAAGGAGGGGGGACTCTGGAAGGCTCTCCACTCTGAAAAACAAACTATTTGCTGGGTTTCCACACCAGCCCTGGGCTTTCCTTAAAAAACATTTTCCTGTTTTAGCATTCCACTTAGCTATCGTATATTTGTCTATGGTGTGTCGGTCTCCAATTACCAGCAAAACAGCCTTTGAAAAAACATCCACAGCAAGACATTTTGATACAAAATATAGGTAAGAACTCCAATGAGATCACTAGCAACACTGAGCATGTTCTATTCACATTCCAAATGAAAATTGTTTATGTATGACTTCAGATTAAAGTGAAAAGGGCTCTTTTCCTCCTAATACTAGTAACTTCTCATATAAATTCTGTATGTGTCTTACAGCTATTTTATATAGAGTCAGGTACATTTCTTGGGTGTTAGTATTAATGTGAAAACTCAAAGATTAATTTTCTTGTTGTAATTGTGTTTACCTGTATTTTATAGCCTTTCATACCTTTACACAAGCTATGCTTTTTATTTGGTCTTTTCCATTAAAGGACACAGCAACTTTTAAAAGGTTGATATCAACTTTTTTTTTTTTTTTTCCAAAGAAGGAATATCTTCCACAAAGAGTGTCTCCCTCTAACTCCTTTTTTTCTTTTTTAATCACGCAGAGGAATTTAATTCCCTTTAGAACCTTTATCCTTTAAACAGAGTGGTCAGCAGGTTCAGAACGTCATGGAAGATAAATAATAATTAAAAAAAAAAGTCATGTAAGGCAGGAAGACATTAAAACCATCTAAAAAAAATAGCGTTTATTGTTTTTCTGCATCCTTCGTTTTCTGGTTTATTGTAGGGACTACTCTTTACTGCTTGGAAGCTATCTATAGGTTTTACAGAAGCTCACAGACCAAAGTACAAAACAGTAAATATTTATATCCTAAATGCAGGTCACAGAGGACAAGAAAAGGCTACTCATTTTAGCACCATGTGCTCTCACCCAGACTTCTGAGTCCCTTGTGACAAACAGTAGCCCAAGGAAAAGCCAAACAGGACTAACAAACACTGCTAGCAACCTACACATTGGGATTCCTAAATAGAGTTCATTGACATAATAATCTATTTTACTATCTGTGTTGGTTTACTTTCATCATATATAAAGAACCACAAAATAACTTGCATCAGAAGGGACCCCAAAAAGTTATCTGCACCCATCCCCCACTGAAAGCAGGACTAATTTAGCATTACATTTACTTCAAATGCTAAGTAATAGTAAATACTAGTAATCTAACTGGAGATAGACCATCAAGTTCATCTTGGTGTTAGCTTATTTACACCTTTCCCCCATCTTCCCACTTGCTACATTTTTTCTTGAATTTCATTAGAATAATCAGAAAAGGGGCCATCTTTCAAAATTAATTTCTCTGTTGACTACCATAACGGGATCTTGAGCCTAAATAGGACTCTCAAAATAAGCACAAGAAAAAAATTATACTGTTACCAATCTGAAAGTGCCTCAAATGTAACACATTATTTTCACTAGCAGGTTGACTTAATGCATGTGGTGGTATAAAGCAAACCACAAATACTCATTCCTATGCCACACCACTACTGTGGGACTGATTTTGCCCATGGAAAAGAAACTATTTATCAAAATAAACAGATGGTACGTTCTCTGCCAAAAATTCACTCTCTGAGGTTTAATTTAGTAGAATTCCTTCCCTTCCTCTGGAGAAAACCTGAAAGGTTCCCCCCTGCAATGAATCATTCCCTCACAGAGCCGCGTGGTGTTTCCTTCGGCGATGGCTAATAGTTGCGTATTACAGAGCACATACAACTTGGAGTAATGAAGCTTTTTACTCATCTTCTACCCAACTCATTTGGATGCAGTAAAGAGTTGAAAACATGAATGAGAAAACCTTTACTTCAAATCAAAGAAAATACAGGAAAATACAAAAATACCAGAAATACAAAAACTTAGCGACCACTCCCTTCTAATATGAAGTTCTTTGCTTTAATGACCTCCTCTCTCCAAAAAAAGATGACGTTGAGAAAAATCATTCCTTCTTTCTTACTGATAATCTGAGAGCCTATGTCGTACCTATTCAGTCACTTTAAAAGTATCCTTTAAAAAAAAAAATAAAATCTAAGATACTTACGGAGTCCAAACTTTTGGAAAGGCAGCAATTTCTTCCGGTGTATATTCATCTAACCTCCTGGGGACTTCACGTGGCTGAGGAATCTCTTGTAGAAGATTCTTCTGGATATCTTCTGGAATAACCTGAGGCAGGTCAGAACTGTCTTAGCTATTTGATTGTTTAAAAAACGTCACCACCACCACCCCCCAAATCCAGACCAACATTTGTCAACACTTTTGCGTCCTTCATGCTAAGCATTTGACCTAAATACAGAAGACAGCTCTCACACAGCTTGTGAGATTTCACGATTTCGTGAAATAATAAAGAAAAAAAACCACCACAACATTTCAACTATATTTAGATACATAAATAAAAAGCAGCCTGATTTTTCTTAATTTACCTTCTTATGACAAGAGTTTTGCTATGGCTAACACTCCCTCTTCACCTCCAAAGCACACAAGAATGAAAATGTTATTGCGTGACTACTCACATCTTCTGGGAAAAGGTGCAGCCTCTGCATCATAGTTCTTCTCTGAAGGTTTTTTGGAAGCATTCCATAAACAGCCAGTTTAACAATCTGTGGAAAGATAACATGGCACCAACTAATCAGACAGGCTACAAATAATGTGAAAAACTAAGCTATGTTTCCTTCTGCCCATTCCACTAGTCACTGAACCTCTTTTCAGCCAGCTTCCTCCTTCTTGAAGAATTCTGGCACCACATTTAGAAGGTGCTCTAGACTTACTGTTTTGGAAGAAGGAACACTTACTCCCAGTCATATAAACACTTACTGTAACAGCCATATAGAAAATTGCAGCTTTGAAAGTTAAGAGCTATATTTAGCATTGTGGATGATTGCATATGATCATTCAGTGTTGAAAAGAATCGGGAAGCTTGTGGTAACTCCATACTGTATTGCAAACTTATATACACGTTATTGAGGGGAAAAAAAAAGGCTCGAACAAATTTAACAAGTGTTCTCAGTGTCTCGGTTAACACCGTAATATGCTATGTTTGGAACTTCTATATAATTAATGCATCGGATCTTAAGCAAAGCTGATATACCAAGACATTGCATCACGAACATTTTATATATATATATATATATATATATATGTATAATTTATTCACTTGCTCTTAGTTCCAGATGAGCAATCGCACTTCTGAGCACCAGGAACAAATAGAATTTGTACATCTACTCTAGATGATGCTTATTGAAAAGAAACAAAATTCAACAAGATTCTCTTAGGCTCTAGCATAGATGCCCGTAATTTAAATACTAAGCACTTTGTTATGGAATACATCCAAAAGGGGAACATTTTAAAATGTAAAACAAGGCATGCAACTGTAAGAGACCAAAAGGGTTCTATGAAGAACAGCAAAGCATTTAGGGGTAGACCTACATGCAATTTTATAAATAGAAGGAAACCCACTTGTTCTGTGCTCCATGCCACCCAGACATAACCTAGCTCCAAACTGGAAGCTGCCCAGGCGTGCTGAGCTCAAGTCAATAAGCCACAATGAAATGCAATGCACTAAGCACAAACAATTTTCCCCAGCAACTGGATGTTCTGAAAAGTATATTGAGTGAAGTTGCTTTTTAAAATAAAATTAACTAAAAGAATGATATCAAAATTTTAGAGATAATTACTAATATTGAGTTCCTAGCTGGAACTACATAGTTAAGATAGAATGATTGTTACAGGTGAAATGAATAAGTGCAGGTTCTTAAACTCGCAGGCATTTCTACGTGGATTCTGAAGTTAGTAAACACTCAGATAGCTTGGCCTCAGTATTATCTTCATCTTGCCATTCACAGGCTGGAGACAGAACTTAATAGGCAGTAACCTTGTCTTAGGATCCTTGGAAACATGTACCCACTGCCTTGAGAAACTGAAGGAATTTACAGAAGCCTTAACACCACAAAGATATTTAGATGTTATGCAGCCAGTATCACAGATCTGTGGACAAATATAATTAATCAAGATGACAGAAGAAATACATCCGACTGGGCAGAATAATCTGTAGTGTTGATATCTTCTCTAATAAAAATCAATAAAATACTATTAAAAAATGAAGATGAAAACTAATGTTTTTAGGGATAAAACTATTATGCTTGTACAGCAAACTAGCTTATTTAGGCCAGTATATCATGCGCTTAGACAAAGGCAAGATGAAGTTAGGAAATGAACCTTCATTGGTTTACTTCACTGAATATTGAAAATAAAGTGAGACACTATAACAATGTAAGAAAGCACATGGATTCTAACAACAGCTCACGTGAACAGTTTTTTAACTTGTTGAACTTCATGAGGTTCATGTGGGCCCACTCCTCAAGCCTGTCCAGGTCCCTCTGGATGGCATCCCATCCCTCTAATGAATCAGCCACACCACTCAGCTTGGTGTCATCCCCAAACTTGCTGAAGGTGCACTCAATCCCACTGTCTATGTCACTGATGAAGATATTAAATCCATGCCTGATCCAGAGCAGGAAACTGGACTTCACTGTTACAGTCTCTCCCATTCTGGAGCTTCAATGCAATTGAATGAACTCTCAGAGGAAACAAACTCGCAACTTACTAACTGGACATTTCAAACAGCTCGTTATTTAATTGCATGTTATTATGGTTATCATAGAGCTTTTAATGTCTGAGCCACTTGAAAATACTTCCATCTATACATTACACCCATGTGGAGAATAAGAGAGAGGAACAATAACCTTGGGTTTGAGCACACATGTTCCCTGCCCCAGAAACTCACGGTAGGGGCAAAGAGGGGAAAAAAGCCTTGGCTTCTGCAGCAGATCATAATTTCCTTGCAGGAACAGGTCAAAGGCAGATTTACACCTCCCACCCCTCAAGCTCATTCACTTTGGTCAGGAAGAAAAATAGAGAAAAAAGAAAAAAAAAAAAGGAGGGGTGAGGTGGTGATAAACTATTATTTGATACTTTTAAAAAGCCAAATAAGTTTATTATGAAGCAAGCTGGAGTGTAAATTTAAAAGGTCCTGCTATTCTGTACTTTTGTTATTGATTTATTGCAAGGTAGTCAGTCCAACTACAGAACAGAAGGCCATAGAGGGAGCTAGGATAGAGAAGGTAGTGCTGGAAAAACTCTAGTTTCCTTCATCGTGACTTCTGCCGCAAGGACTTTTCTATGAGCCAAAGCAAATCCAAACCCAGCTCCTGGAAAGACCAAGTTTACATCCAGCTCCTTGCCCAAAATTCTGCCTACAGCCAGAACCTCACTCTAATTGGTGTGATGACAAGTCAAAGAAGCTAGTAAAGTATAGGCTCAGCTGAAGCTGTATGGACTGCTTTTGCAACTTGAGTAAGGTTATGCAACAGAAAAGGCAGATCCAACCAGCAATATTTACAGGGTGCTAAGTAAGGGCTCTCCTGTTACCTGAACATGCTCAAGTATTACTAAAAATGAACCAACCCTAAATAAAAAGGTATAGAATAGCAAGAAAAAGTCTGCTACTGAGCTCACGCAAAACCTAAACCCAGATTCAATGCTCCCTGAAAGCACTCATCAGAATACGCTGTTTCTTTAAGGAATTAACAACAAAAATCTTTCTATATGCCTGTAACACATGTCTAATAAAAGACAATTCTTATTGTTTTCTACGTGATTATGTTTACTTTGAACTATTAAAATAACAAGAGTTTAAATTTACATGAAATGTATAAAACCCAATTGATTTCTGTGGGACTTCAAACTGGTAAAGAGGTCTACCTACCCACAGGTGTGTCTGCAACCTCAATCTCACTTTAAAACTAATTAGTACAGTTTAACAGTTTATTCAGTTATTTATGGATTCCTACTGCCTTCCTCTACCCAATCCTTTATCTTTAGTACTAGCAACCTGTAAAATTCCATATCCTCATAAATACTCCTGAAGGCCATGACACCTTCTCCATCAGGTAAAGACTTCCACCATCAGATGTATACAGCAACAACAGTGTTAATATTTGGAGATTTTTGAAGTACTGGAATGCTGTTTGCCCTGATTTCTTTTGAATTACAAAATCCCTACTGGCTGCAGTTACAACCATCATCCTGAATATTGCAATACCTTTTTTTCAAGTTGGCTAATTTATAGACTCACAGCATAGTGAGTATACACATGCTCCTAATCACAGTTATATGACATTACCTTTTTAATTCCCAATTTAAAGCGCTAATTAGGAGGAAAGGAATCTGAAGGCAGCTCCAGTAAAACTCTTGCACTTTCAGTCCCTTACTACATGGTGTAACATTTTATGAGTACAAATAAATTAAAACTATATTTATTTGAAACACTGTGTGAGGCTTGAACATTTAAATTTTTGTGATAGGCTTTGGCTCACGTGCAAGTTGCAGACTATGCTTGATGGAAACAAGTTCTGAGAAAGATTCTTTGCCAGATAAAACATACTGTAAAGAAGGAAATCAACAGAGCAATACCACTCTTGGGCCTGAGAAGCACAAAATAATTGGCCGAATTTCCAGAAGAATGTCTACCCTAACAACTGACTTAAATCCAATAATCACCAGGAAGCAACTCTAGAACATGGGAAGGACACGCTGCTCCAGAGAAAACAGGAGTGATTAATTACAGAGCATACCAAAAAAACCCTAGAAAAATTTCAGGAGATACACTCAGAGGTACAGCTTGACACAACATCTTCCTCTACCATATAAAGATCTTTCTAATCTGTATTTGATGTTGTTCTTTTCATCATGTATGTTATAAAAGCATACAAAGAACTTCACCTTACTAACTCAGAGAGTTGCATGAGTAGCACAGCAAAAGTGAACGTACTTAATACTGCCATAAAAATGATTTGGTCAGAGACAAATTAAACTCCAATTGCATGCCATTTAACTTTCCACTACTGTTCAGTACTTAAAAACTTAGAAGTTTAATGTATTCTTTAAATTATTATATTAATTTGCCTGGCAAATTCAAATAAGAAATGGATTAAGATTTTTTAAAAACAAAGTATTTATTATTGTCTACTTCTAAGCCAGCTCTAAGACTTATTTAGAGCACCTAGAGATTTTAAGATAGCAGGTTCCGTAACAATATTCTCCCACCCCTGCCATACTAACTTCTGTCTGCTTACTAATCCAGACTTTGAAGTTTTGTTCTACTTAATTAAAAAACATTACTCTATAGTAATAAAAGAAAACGCTATTATATCCGGTGTTTCAGTAACTGCCTTTAAAGTATGCACACATTATTATATTAACTATCCCTTACTGATGCAAAGAAAATAGGCTTCCAAATACCAACAGCAAGACTTAATCATCTTTTCTATCTGAGCTTTTCTTCAAAAGATCATTATTATGCAGATACAATGGCAAGTCCGTACGTGCAAGCAGTTGCTAAAGAGCATTCAATAGGAGAATGAGAACATTTTAAGCCCCTTCCTATCAGTGCCAGCAGCTGAACAAACCACAACCCTGACACGCCCGGAGGCCTCCTCAGGGGAGACTTCCCTAGAGCCACCCGCCTGGCTTAATCATCTTCCCTAGCAGGTAACATTCATTCCCAACAATTATTGCCCATCATTTCTTTGTCAGAGGCTATACGGCCTCTGAATGCTTCAAAGGTCAATCCTTTCACTGAGCATTCGGTATTAGCTAAACATGACTTTTTCTTTTTTTTTTTTTTTTGGGAGGAGTTTGTGATGCAGCCAAAAATAAATAATAATTTTAAAAAGGAAAAAAAAAAAAAGCACCAAGTTTTGCTTACTTTTAAAACTAGAAATAACATAAAAATTGATTGAAAACATTGTCCTGACAGGATTAGTACCTACTTCTACAGATTACATCTGTCAACATATTTTGCAGGCGTTTTAATTAAAAACCGTAAGATTTTTCCAGAAAGTTTTTTCCAAGTAATCTTTGCTCCCTCTCAAGTCTGTGAGATTTAAAAGTACATCTATTAGTCTTCCCGTATCAAATACTTCAAAGCCTAATTTTGAAAGTGTTGGTCTCATGCCTACCAGCAATTTTCCAGCTAAAAAAACCTTCTGCAAATTTTATTAAAAACAAACAAGAAAACTCCAACCTTCTACGCATTCCAAACACATGCATCTCAAAACAAAAATTTACCTGTTTCCTTTATTTTCAAAAGAGTCTCTTGGCAAAGAAAACACACCAAACCTTTCAAACAGATTTTTCTGTACGTAGCAACATACAATGGAAATTAATGTTGTCTGCTAATATATATCCTAGGGAGTAGTAATACCATACAGAATATTAGTATGATATTAACCTGAAGAACAGAGAGGCTGTTTTGAACTAGAGCATCAAGCTGTTATGCTGCACCTAAAGAACTATTTAATACTCTCATCTATGGGTGGTCCAGGAATTTACACTAAATCTAAGTCAGAAGAAGAAAATGCTGAAATGTGAAGAAGCTTTTTTTTTCTTCAATAGGCACTTCCTGCATTAGCCTGGCCAAGTCCAATAGAGGAGAGCTATTCTCTGCTGTTCTCCAGAGGAGCTGACAACTGAAAACACTCGAAATTTTAAACAGATTCAGACACTCCCCTCCCCACGCCTCCCAAAGGAACTCAAAGGTGCTAAAGGTAAAAATGTGCTAGACTATTTACTTCTGATAACTTTTTGGTAACACATTGTAATCTTCACCCTTCCATAAAATCAAACTTTTCCAAAGTGCTGAAAAACTTGGCACAATGAACATGGAACTTTAAGTTCTACGCAAAACACCAACTATGCAGACCTATTTTTGTATTGCTGCACATTAGCATAAAAGATACTTAGAAGTGGAAAAAAATCTTTTGTCAATCTCAAGCACAAAATTATACACCTGAGATTAGACACTTATAATAGGCACAGGGGCTTTTTGTGCACGTTCAAAATTCAGCACAAATCCTTGGGAAGCACTAATCACTACCTGCATGGAACATAAAAGTCCAAAGCTAGTAAAACAGATACAATGCTGTTAATTTCTGTAAGTGAGAATATCCAACCATTATCCATCCCTAACTTGGTATCTTATGAAGGAACTAGAAGCAATCTAGGTTAATTATCTAACCATACTACAGTAAGCGTGTCTAAATTCTGACAACTATACCTATGGCTTCCAGCCCTCCATGTAAACATAAAGTGTACCATTTTGCATCAAATTACTCATTATAAATCAGCTATTAGCCTTATACCAGTTTTTCCTAAAACTGGTATCTCTGTATACTAGAAACAATGTTTAAACAAAACTGAAATGGAAAAATATTTATCTTGGGGATTTGTATGTTTGAATTTAGACATATGTCAGTAAAGACAGCGCTAAGCAGTGTTGGAGCCCTACTATATACACAAGCTCAGGGAACCTTACAAGCTTTAATCTATTTCTTACATAAACCGAAAACAGTCATATCCATTGCAAAACATCTATGGAACACCACACAAGTTTACAAGGTGTTTGGTCAACATCCTTTTCCTCAGAAGTAGTCTCTTCCTTTAATTTAATGCCTTAATTTCTGTAATAGCAGTATTTCAAAAAATAATGTTGACTCATCTAATGAAGCAGTACTGGGATGAGCTAGCAAGGAGACAACAGGACCAAGGGCAGAGAAGGAGGAGGAGTCTGCAGGATGAAGGCAATGCTTTACAGAATGAAGACTTAGACTCCACAGAAAGATAGAGCCTTCCTTGCTTCCTACAACCTACCTAATTCCACTGGCTTCACAGGATTGAATTTAACATGATTGAAAGAGAATTGGTCTCTCTTTAATTCAAAGAGAAATAGAGCGATTTATAAAAGTCTCCACAATAACTATGTGTCATTTAGATCATATTTTGAAGATCCAAATGCTGCTTAGGATAAGCATTGCTCTCTTTACAGTAATCCTTTTTCAGGTTTTAATAGCTAGTTCTAAAAATAAAACACATTACTAAAACAACATCATAAATTCCATCTTTGTCATAGCTCAATATATTTCACACCAAAACAATTCAACTAGTAAATAAACATTTCTAGCCATAAAATCACTTGCAAGTCAAAACCTGTAACAGCTACACATACAGAACATATAATACCAAATTACTATCTACTACTATTAATTATGACAAAAATACATATGAAATATCTTTATGAGAGGCACATCCAAATGCTTCCTCTTCAATAGAATGAAAGAGTTAATTGCTGAGGGTTCTCCACAATTGTGTTTAAAAAAAAAAAAGTTTCTTGGCTAAATTAGACCAAGCCTTGAGCCACATCACCATTTTCTGAGCCTCTGTCCAACATGCTTTAGTTATTGGCAATGCATTTAATCCTCCTCTGCACAGAGATTCATCTATGACTTTGGCAAGAAATGAAGTATTTCAGACTGAATGCCAGAAGGTAATTTATAGGACATTCAGTTCTCAGGCCCTACCAAACAATTTGTGTTACACTGCCTCCCAGTGCACAGCGGCTGCCTCAAGCCCAAATGGAAAAAAGTTGAAAAGTCCATTTTAGACACAGAACTATCAATAAGTCCAAAAAAAATTGCAACTATCTTAAAGGCCATTCTCAACAGCATTTAAGCGTGGTTTGAAAAATTCTAGACAGAAAAAACATTGGACTGTGGGATTTCGTTTCACTTTAAATAAAGAAATTGCATAAATAGAAATGAAAACCAGGCAAATTCACACGGTGACTGCTTTTTTATTGAGTACTTGTGCAACCTCTTGTATAAAAGAGCTTTGGGACAAAGCAGGATTTCTAAATCACAGGTAAAAAATCATTGACAAAACCCAAGAATTTTACAGTAGATAATGCTTCTCTAGGAAAAGGAAAATTTCTGTATTTTATATATAAGGTGACCCAAGCCAAAGCATTTCAAAGCCAAAAATAAACATAGATATCTGTTAATCTCTGTAGGCCTCATATCATGTTCTGAAACACTAGTACTTAGAGATTTCAGTCCTCCATTCAAAACCTTAGTAAAAGTAATTTCTTAACTGTGTAAGTCAACATTCCAAGAGGTTTGTAACTAGCACCCTATTTTTTTAATCAGTAACAAACACATCAACACTTATATTCAGAAGAATTAATAATAGTCTGATACAGACATTTAGTAAAGTGGCTTAAGTTCAATGTAATCATCATTTCCACCTCTTTCACAGACCACGAACACACAACATTGCAGAAAAGATTTTAAAAAATAATAATTTAACAAAATCTACAGTTGAATTTTAATGGAAGAAAGAGGCAGGTGTACTTTTCAACATTTTTAAGACTAGCATTATTCTTGCTGGCTCTCAAAAAAGTAGCAGAGTTGTGAAGCTGAAGTACAGCTTACCTAAATCTAACTTGAGGCAGCTCACTTCTGAGAAAGGTCAGACCTCTGACACTAAAAGCAAGTGAATGGGTCAAATGAACTTGACTTGTTCATTTGGACAGCGTGGAAGAATCACGAAAACGCACAACCTACAACCTAAGCCTCAAAACATGCTGTTTACAAAAACACTGTCACAATCCAACCTTCTAAGAGCTGTTAGCAGAATGGAATTTAGCTTTAGACATGCAGGTGACTGATCACTTTCGTTTAGGGAAACTAATTAAATGAAAACAAATCAACTTTACAAATGAAAGGGAAGAAGGGGAAACACTTACAGCAGTTGGATCCTTCAGATGCAGCTGAGTGGCTGTCACTTGTTTGAAACCACCAGGATAGCTAGAAAAACAGAACAAATACACAAGCTTAACACTCTGCGCTCAAGTGGGATGTGGTACCACAAGTATCGCTAAATGTCCAACAACGGTGTAATGGTGTGAGCCTTCAAATAAAGTTGTTCTCACAAGGGCAACTATAATGTATTAGAGAGGTTCTATCCTGCCAAGTAGCTAAGTTTAATGCCATTTGTACTTCATTTATTCACTTGAGTATTAAGAAGTTTGTGTTTCACAAGAGATTGATATGTTTTTAAAACTGCTTATTAAATACACCATCACAGCTCCAGAATACTATGGGAGTAAGATATGCAAAACTTGGAAATATTTTAAGATGATTAAGATTCACAACTAGTCTGCGGCTGACATATGAGACAAATATTTTGAACAACATTCACTATTTTCATACTATTTTAAATAAAACTTAGCATTATTTGGTGTATCTACAGTAATAAAATTTGACTTTTACTGCAATACATCCATCCTTTTAAAGTCTGTGTGATATGGTGAAGTTACACTAACTCACATTTATGCACATACTTTAAATGAATGATACAGTGATGCAAGAAATTACATGGACCTCAGGTAAAGCTGGGTTTCATTTTGATCTAATTATGTTATTAGGTATCAACCTAAGTGAAGTGAAAATAAACCTAACACCATTAAAACATATCCACTTAGGGAGCTGCAGAGATTTAAGCATTTGTTTTAATTGAACAATTTTTTTCACTTAATCAAGAACAACTTAGACATGTAAGTGCTCTAACTTACACAGAAGGCTTTAGTGAAAATTTTTAAGAAGTCTCAGAGGTGGGAGGAGAAAAGAAACAAACACCACACTAATTTCTATCAACTCTGAACAAGAACCTCTCAGCAATTCAGCAAAGGAATTTCAGGGTTGAAACATCAGTACTAGCAAAATTAGCTGTCTTAATGTGATTTATTCATCTCCTGACTAGATATGTTTTAACACTTAGAGATTACTATCTAGTGTTGTCACTGTATAAAATAGGAACAACTGTTCTTATTTGACTGAACTGATCATTGCCAGACTGGCTGTAATTGATTATTGCAATTCCATCTGTAAACAACTTACGTCTGCCAGAATAATGTATTATACACTACCATATACATCAGTACACCTTGAAAGCATCTCATTTCTTACCAGTTTTCCCAATTTCTTTTCTTTTTCCATCTTCTGGTTCAATAATATATCAATCTTTATATTTACTGTGAGGTAAACAGGTACTGACAGGATAAAGTAATTGAAGTTGGCAATTGTATGTACCTTAAATGTGCAGTGCCAATAGGAACGTCTTCTAATGCTTTGTAAATGGCATAGTCCTGATCATTGGGTCCACAGCTTCACACAAAACAACGTGGCTTACTCAATTGCTCTGACTACTTTTGAGAAGAAAAAGGCTTTTGAACCAATATGCTAAAAAAGACTGACTATTAGGCAAATATGATATTAAATTTTCAACTAGCTCATTTGAATATTATAAAGCTTACCCAGTGTGTGAAGAATATACTTTCTGTTCCCATTTGTTACCAGAGAAAGCAATATGTCTTGTATTTATTATGACAACATGATCTCCACAGTCACCTACAAGGTAGAAATTAGTGGAAAATATTAAAAGAACCATAGGAGAAATAAACCAAAATAATGACTATAAAGCGTGCGATACACATATATACACATTACATAAAGCTCAGATTTCCTCAAGAAATACACAAAAACCAAGGCCAGTTTACTCTATTACATTATGGTGTATGCAATTTGTTACATACAGCATATACACTGCACCTCTTCAGAGAAAACAAAGTAGCCACAGTAAATCCACTTTATGTCTCTGTATGTTTGTAACTTAAATCCCATCACACAGTAAAAACACATGCTTTAGGTACCTATATTTTTCCTCCTACATTTTAACTAAGGACTAAATGGTAATTAAAGGTAGGCATCATATCGTCAACTCCTAGCTCAGAAAAATGACAAACTACATGCCTGATCTTTCCTTAAAAGACAAGTCTTCACTGCTGCTTCTAGCCATTATAAATTAACATTGCAACCTGGGCCAGAGTGGGTGTGTGGGACACTTCCATCTAGCCTAGTCTTCTCCTCTGAGGATGCAAAGGACAGCAGCAAATCCTACCCAAACAACAGAAATGGCTCACCTACACCTTCTCACAACCCAACAGAAAGAATCAGGATTGCCCAATTTTTAAAAAATCTAGCCCACCATTTTTGGTTTAGTATTGTGAGCCTACTCACAAAGACTGGATGCAAGTGGACAAGGGTAGAGAGAAGGAGAGATACAGAAGAAATCTAAAAATCCCCATTCAAACCTTCTGAACAAGGTTGTACCCCCTTATTGAAGGCGTATGGACTGACAGCATCTAAAAACATGAGACTCTGGAGAATAATGAAAGATTATCCCTAAATCGGATTTCTTTCCTTCCGATACTTTTCAACACAATAAATAAATAACAATTTTATAGAAAGGTATCTGGGCACCAAATTAAAAACAGAACAAAACAAAAAGATCCCCACAATGTTATTCTGGGTAAGGAACGGTGAACTGTTCTCTCACAGACACTAAAATCTTTCTTGTTAGTTCAGGAAAAAAAAAAAAAAAAGAGAAAAAGAAGTGTTAAGTACACCAACCACAAATTCATACATACTTTGCTCTCTCAGAAAGAGTACCAAATGACTCTCTTAAGTAGGAACCTATCCATGTCAATCTCAGGTGTAATGCATTTGGTACTGATTTATAGGATACTTTAAACCAAATACGGTTATCCTTGACATGACTTTCCAGGATTTTATAACTTCATGGACATAAAAGTATCAAAGACCTTTCCCACAGGACAACCAAAAACATTCCCTCTCAGTGTGTGCTTTATTTTTCAGACAGTCTTAGTCTCCAGCGACATCTTGTGGATAAGATACGATTTGCAACAGCAGAACTCAGGTATTTAAAACCTCTTCAGAACACTACAAATACTACCTTCTGTTTTGAAAAACAGATCAAGTACAATTTTAGTAGGTACACTCTCCATGCATGAGAAAAGTTTAATGCTTCCTTTATGTTTCTGTAATGAATCTTGAAAAATATGCAAGAGTATTACGGGAAAAATTGTACCATAGATATGAGGGATCATCTTTTTCTCATCATGGTAAGACAGGCACTACAGTATTACAAATAATCATCCTCATCATCAGGCTCATCATCACAGAATGTCTGAGGTTGGCAGGGACCTCTAGAGGTCATGTTGTCCAACTCCCCTGCTCAAGCAGGACCAGCTTTTGACTATCTCCAAGGATGGAGACTCCACAACCTCTTGGGAGACCACTTTCAGTCACCCTCGCAGTAAAAAAGTTTCCTGATGTTCAGAGGGAACCTCCTGTGTTTCAGTTTGTGTCTGTTGGCTCATGAAGACAGGACTTCTCTGCACCTTATTCAGAATGAAGAACCATTCCAAGACTATGGCGTTGTGCAGCTACTGAAAGGTAGCATTCAGAAAATCTAACCAAGTATCCCATCAGGGCTTCATTACGTGCACTGTGAATTGAATCTCTACATCTAAAAACAATGTAATGAAACACACCTCAAGGTTTCAAAAGAAATTAAAGCCCAGGTCGCTGCAATTCAACTACTAAAAATAAATTATGAATTCATAATGAGCTTTATATGGATTTGTAATGACAACAACATAAGGTTGTACAGTGGTATAAAGGAGAAAGATGAGATGGACAACAAAGACGTTTGAAATTTACAAGGTTTTTACAAGGCTTTTAAAACTGAAATCAGAAGAAAAATACAAGGGAAGGAAAGCAAACTTGCTTTTATCTGCTGCAATACTCACTTAGTGCATGATAAATAGGTTTGTGCCTGCCTTCAAGTCTGATTACAGTCGCAGCTGCAATTTTTCCTGGTGGCTGCATCTTCGCATCGAGAAGATACCAGGCTCTGGCAAAAGTAGCCCATTGCTGAAGAGAAAGAGAGGTGGTACTTAGTATAGTAGAACACACTACCATACAGAGATGTAGGTTCTCTAATAAGATTACCACCTTTTTTATACTTCAAAACACTAGAATAAATACTAATATTCAACAACACCCCCTCCAAACAACCTTTAAATGGACGGAGATCACTGCTGTACATGCTCCCAACCTACGTGGGGGTAACAACACTGAAAGGTTACCAGCTCTGAATGATTTGTTTCAAAAATGAAGGTTTCTTGCCGCAAGCTTCCATTACGGCTAACTGCACTGTAAAATCGCTGTGTGCTGTTTAATGCCCAACACCTCCTCCCCTCTCAGCGGAGGGCACATCCCCTCCAAACGCAGTTTCATGCCCGCCAAGGGCCTGAGCTGCCCTCCCCAGGCAGGCGGCCTTATTCCTCAGGGACAGGTACCCCCCTATCGAAGGTCACCGGCCCCGCCGGCGGGCCCTCAGGGCCGACACCCGGACAGGCCCTGCCCTGGGGACCGACTGTCCCTTCCTCCCGGCGCCCGCCCTCCGCGCCATGGCGGCCGCCACCTCTGAGGGACCCCGGCGGCCGCCACAGCACAGGCTGCACCGAGGAGGAGGAGGAGGAGGAGGAGGAGGAGGACGGGGGGGCTGCGCTCACCTGGGCCGCCTTGGTGTAGCTGGCCATGGCCGCCCTGAGGGGAAGCAGGGGAAGGGAAGCGGAGCCCCTTGGCCGCCGCACCGGCGGGAAGCGGAAGCGCTGCCCTGCGAGGGGCGGTGCGAGGGCGGCAGCGCGGGCCATTCGTAGCGGCGGCGGCGGCTCCGTTCCCCGCCCGGCCATGGATCGCTACGTCCTGCTCCTGAGCTGGGGGGAGCGCCGGGGCGAGGGGGCTGCGGCCGGTGGGCCCGAGCCCGGAGGAGGTAGGGTGGCGGGGAGCCGGGGCCGGGCGGGCGGGAGGCCGCGCCGTGTGGGGAGCCCCAGCCGCGGGCTTGCATCGTCGGGGCCTTCTTTCACGGGGGCTGGTCCGGGGTCTGCGCCCGAGCGTCCCTACCCCGTTAAACACCTTGTTTTCTTTTTTTGTTTCTTCAGTTTTTAATAACTTAGACCTTCAGAAACTGAGGGGGTTGTGTGTTTTACCGTGATGCTGCTGCACGGCTCGGTGGAGCGTTCCGGAGAGGTGTGCTGCTGCACCGGGAAATGTACAAAACTCGTCTTTTTAAACTCCTGAAAATCTATAGTTGACAGTTTTAGGTTTTGTTTGTTTGTTTGTTTTTTTAAACTGAGCTTCTAATAATAAACTGAGCTTTACACTGTATTTGCAAGGAAGCAAGACTTCTGTAATTCAGTGGTTTTAAGAAAACTCTGATTTTTGTTTTGTTTTGTTTTTTCAGCTGTGACTGCTGCAAGCGTTTGTCAGTTTCTGAAAGAGAGCTGTAACTCATGGCTAAGGGCAGGTGTGAGCACGTTCCCAGGTAAATAAAGTAACGTACAGTAAGGGAAGGCAAGGGGTGCCAAGGGATTGGCCTCGGCACGGGTTATGATGCTGCTGAAACAAGTCAGAAGGTTAATGAAGGAAACCTGATTTGTGCCATGTGCCCAAACCCCCAGGGTGGGACTGCTCCTGCTGCTGCCATCTCTATGGAGAACTGATGTCCTTTCAGCTGCTGGTGTGTTAGGAGATGATTAAATTGGGCACAAGAAATGAAAGACAAGGATTTTGACAGTATGACAGATTTCAGTCCAGCTTAGCCGGGTAAAGCAGGAAAGGGCTTGTTTCTCATGTGCAGCTTGATATTTTCATTACTTCTACGATGTCTTCTGACTTTTTCAGCGGAAGCAATATTTGCTGTCGGGTAGCAATTCAGAACCCTAACCATGAATATTTATTAGATCATTTTGTCGTCTTAAAATAGACTTCTGAAGATCTGCTTTAGTACTTTTTCTGGTTGGGTGTTTGATTTTTTTTTTTTTTTTTTAAAAAAAGTGCTTTCTTAGTTCTTCACTTGGTTTGGATATTGTGTTGAGCTGTTAAAGCTCATCTTGTCACAGCTGTCACCCAGTTGTGATTCACGAAGATAGGAATGTTAAGCTGTTTTCAATTTCAGTTCTTTTTATTGCACAGAAATACTGAGAGAGCATCTCTTTTTGTGAACTGCATAAACTTTATTTATGAAAGTTGTGAGTTAGTTTAGGTATGATACAACTGCTGCAAATGGAGAGCAATATCGACCAGAATGAAGAGGAGGTCAAAACCCCCAAACTTCCGTATTTATTAACAGTCAGAAGATCATTATTAGTTAGACAGTTACCTAGACACTCACCTACACCTTAATATATTTAGATCTTATTTATGATGCTAAAGTAAAGTATACCTTAAGTGACTGTGACACAGTAAATGATTTGTGTAGTCTTTCAACAGAGATGCTCATTATAATAGGAAGAATAGATGGGAGTGGATTGACTGTTTTAAATAATGGTTTTATCTCTTTTCAGCATGTTCAGTGGCTGGTATTCCAGGTGTAAAGAAATGGTACTTTGCAAGCCATGCTATATGTGGTTATTATCAGGTAAGAGAGAATATAAGTTCCATAACACTCTGCCTGTCTCTAATGCAAGTTAAAACTGTGATGCTCAAAGTTCTTTTTCTTGATTAGTTCTGCAGTTCTGACTGGGAAGAAATAAATCTTGACACACAGGGAAATGAAGATTCTCTCCAAACAAGTATTGATGAATGCCTGGGAGCCATACAGAGTTTTGAGGAAGAAGACAATAACAGTAGAGAGTCACTGTCTATGACTGAGTATGCATATTATTATTTCTATTGAAAGCATTGTGATCTGACATTTAACAGTAATAACCCAAGGGAATCAAGAAAATTTAAAAGTACAGGTTATTACCGAAGCAACAGTTAACTATGAACAATCCCCTACTACTACTGAAAATAATTTTTTTTAACATAGCTTTTTTTGTTTTAGATACAAGTGATTTTTATAGAATAACTGAACATTTTGCTAACAGCTGACAGTTATATATATATAAAAGAAGTTTCTTGCTGAGAGAAAGCTGACCATCTTGACTCCTACTTCCAGTTTTACTGAAGATTATTTTGATGTCATTTATCCTACTTATACCTCAGTAAAAGGGGGGATAAATAAATCTTATTGCCTAGATATGTTTATGCACAATTTTAAAGGTATAAGATAGTTACATCAGGTAGTATTCATTGTAACTTTTTGTTTCTAAATTACCTTTTTGTTTCCAACCATGTCCTCTTCATTGTCAGTATCTATGATGAAGCCGCAGAAAGTCTGCATCAGTTAGCTGATAAACTGCCTGCCCCAGGTAACCTTTCTTAAACTCAAAAAGAGATGGCTCTTTTATCTTGTTTGTTATTACTCTAAAAGTTTGGCTGGTAAAGTCATAGTCAAATGGAGAAACTCAGGGGATGTTAGTCTGTTAATTGAATTAACTTGTATTCAGCACTTGGAAGCAGTTTGAGGAACGTGAGCATGATTGGCCTCACAAATCAGCCTATGGAGTTGTTTGCTGCATGTTTCTTTGGAAGGCTGTATTTCAGTAGAGACTTCTGTAGCTATTTATATGATTAATTTTTCCATGTAAAATGGCATCAAAGCAGTAATAGACAGTAAGCAATATGAAACTCACCATGGAACCATAGGAAGTTTTTATGAAAAAAAAGGAAGGCGTTGATGTCAGGCTTACACCTGCTCTGCCAGCTGATTGCTCGTGGGTGGGAGCCAAGAAGCTGTGAAGGAGCATAGATCAGAACTGTTAGATTAGGATTTTATAAAACTGGAGATGAGTATCACCTTGTGTGTTAGGGTTACATGGTGTTGCAGCGGTTGTGTTGGGATAGCAAAGGAACTGAATGCCAACAGAATGAGAAATAGCAGTTTAGAGGTGTTAAAAGATGGAAAATGACATAGCGTTGTACTGGAGACAACTGATGTGTCAAATACAATGCAGAGTGAGAGAGGAGAAAGGTGTAGAACCACAATAAGTAAGCGAATGGCAAAATAAATTTATTTTGTGTTAATCTGAGAGGAGCAGTGAGAGACGAGCTAAAATGTGTGAAAAGTGTTTTAAATCTTGCTGAAGTTACTTGAAGTTGATCTTTAAGCCCATTTCAGTGCAGTCGGCAATATCAGTACTTTGCAATCTTTAGATGACTGAATTGTTTTCCGCGTAATGGTACTTTGAGTCATATATAACTGTTTTTATAGGCAGAGCCATGGTTGATGTAATTCTGCAGGCTGCTGAACGAGATGGACCCAAGTTAAAAGACTGCTTACCTGCTATTGGTGCCCTGAAACACCTGAGAGAATGGCACTCTGCGAAAATCACGATTGCAGCAACTGACTCTAAAGGGTATGCCTTTTATTTTATGTGTGTAAACAAGGTCACTCTTGTTTTGTGTTAGTATATGTCAGTGGTTTAAAATAAACCCAGTATTTGAGCACTGTACGTGTATACTTTGAAAGTACGTAGATGTGTCTTCTGTTATTGTTTGAGGGGAGGAATTACTTGTACTAATGTATTGTAAATGCATGCCCTAACCAGGAGGGCAGAGAAAATAGCAAGTGCTCTGAAGTTCCTGTTTCTATGAGAGCAAAAGGTACAATATGTTCTTTCTTTCCGTCACTAGTGGCTTCAGTGGGCAAACTATGTTTTGAAGATGTACTGTGCTACATGCATGCAACTTGTATTGATTGCAGTTTTCCAGTTTTTGTAAAATGAATACATAACTCTGCTGGTTTTACTTTAAATTTTATATTACCTGTGGTATTATATACATTGGAGGGAAAAAAAAAGTGTCTGATTTGTCCTTTGCTTCATAGAATATGTCTTAATATTAACTTAATCCTAGATTAATGAAACTATAATTAAAAAGTTGAATGCTGAGTCCTTGGATAGAATTAGCAGTCTACCTACTGTACCTACCATGTAGTACTTCTATGGTATATGGAGGACGATAAACTTCTTGCAATGACTTTCATGAGTGCTTGATCTCAGTGCTCTTTGGTACCTTCCTGTGCAGCCAGCTCTTGACTGAATAACCCTTTTTCTGCTGCCATTTATGTAGAATGAGGCCATTTGGGCATAGAGTTTCTCTGATGAAAGTTCTTCCTGTTCTGTTCCTGTTGGGTGCCGATTTCTCTTAGAAGACAGACTGCCAGTAGGTCCCACAGATACTGGCTGTTCTCTCTCTCTGTTGTTGTAGAATTTGGATAATGTGCTGCAGTCATATCTCTACTTACAAGGTTACAAACCATCTAGATGGGCTAGCAGAAGCCCCGGTGATGGCTATCTGACTTTGTTCTGGCTTCCAGCACCCAGCCTTACTGTGCTATGCCTGCAGCTTGCCATTGCTGGTCTTATTTGATGCCTCACAAAGTTCTTTGCTGTCACGTTCACGGAGGATATGAACAACTTCCTTTACAGAGCCTGAACCAGCAATTCTGTAACTTCTTATACTTCGTGGAATATAAAGCTGTATATGTTTGTCTTAACATATGCAAGACTATTCAGTGCTAAGAGGTAAAAGGGAAATTTAGTCAAATTGCACTGCATGTTAATTTGTAATACTAAGATTAATTCTTCCTTATTGTTACAGTAGTTGGCGAAAGATTGCGGACTATCTATCAGCAGACTTTGTATCCTCAGATAATGTCATGGATATTATTGATTTAAAAGAACTCTGGAGAGGAAAGATTCAGATATGGGAAAGAAAGGTAAAATAACTTTTTTCAGCTATGGTTATTTTTTTAAAGCATCTGAGCACATAATTTAAATTGTGTATGGTACAGTGCATTTTATGCTTTAATTTGCCAAATTTGGTTTTGACAGTATAATTCAACTGGTAATGTACAATGTATCTGGGGGAACGTGGGGGACCAACTTGATTTTATGATGGTGAAAGGATGAAAGAGATCAGGGCATTGAGATTTGAATTTCAGAAATTCGGATGCTCTCCTCTGAAATGTTTGCCTTAGACACAAAACAATCTATTTTTAAACAAGAAGTTCTAACACAAATCATTATCATGTAACTCTGTAAGTCATTATTGCAGAGCACATGTCTTTTTGCAAAGACTGATAGCTTTGTGATTGTACTGTTTGCAGTTTCAGTATTAATGTTTTGGATGTAGAAGTTGCTCATCTAAGTCTAGTATTTTTACCTAGTTTTACAGATTTGCTGGAAACAAATATAATACTAATTGTTTCAAATAGTAATAAATGTAACTGGCTGAAGAGAAATAATTTTTCTCTCTGACGCATTTATTGTCTCTTTTTCCAGTTTGGATCAGAAGTTAGGTTTCCAGAATTTTGTATAAAGAGCACTTCAGCAAAGACATTCAGCACTTCACATTTGAGTTCTTGCTTTGCTGTTAAAAATGAGCCACAATCGAGGAATACTGATACTTTGCCAGAGGCAAGTATTGTTCTTGATGTTTCTTTGAGCCACTAAAATTCATCTGTTTTACTTTCCTGAGAAAATTAGTAATTGGGGAAGCTCTGGTCAGAACTGAAAATTAAACGTGAAAGTGATGCTTGCATAAGATTGAGGAATACTTCTTTTATTCATCTGTGTTCACAAAACAGGTCCTTAAAATTTCATCTGTTCTTAGAAATTCGTTACTGAAATCTTTTTCAAGAAGAAATTGAGACTTTGTTCAATCTTAATACTTAAAATAAGTAGTTTGTTTATGAATTCTGTGTTTATATAACCTTTTCTACTTCATTTAAAAAGTGTGGTTTATTTTTTTAAATCGCTGGTGCTGGTTCATGTTTTCCACTGGAAGTATATGTTTGATGGGAACTCCAGAATCATATTTGTTGAAGAAAACAAAAATGATTGTTTATGAAAACCAATGTCAGTCAAGAGATTATTATTTTCATTGTTAAAATATGTACATTTTGGATTGCATTCGTCTGTTCCTGGTAGATCTTGTTTTTCTTTGAACTTGGATGAGAGTTACAACACGTTCGATGCACAATTGACATTCTAGAAAGAAAGTTTCATTAAACAGAATTAAATACCTTCCTTGATTTTTATTTAATTATGTTTACTATGGTATTTGTGAAATGTTTTTCTCTTTATAATCCTTTATACCTCTTTCAGATGTATTTGTAAGGCAAATGCCTCCAGCAAAACACTTGAAGTCCTATTGAGATAACGTCATATAGAGTGTTATAGCTTTTTTTTATTTGATCTCTTTTCAGGTTTTCCATTACTATGGTCCTGCACTAGAATTTTTACAGATGGTGGTTCTCTCTGATCTACCTGCCTTTTTTGTATCAGATCTGGAATTCGAACTGTATCCTGTTTTTAAGGGTCTAAACTACTACTGATAAAAGTCTGTAGCAGAAGGAAAACAATCAGGATCTACCCATGCAAACAATGCATGAGATTTAGCAAGGACTCATTCCGTTCTAGACTGCCTAAATAGTCAAACTGATTATTCACAACCAATTTTTTTATGTTGAAATTTAAATTACACTAAAAATAATATTTTTGATATTATTGCACATATACTTTGTCTATTATTGTATATGCTATTTGTGGGGAAAAAATAAAGAAATATTTACTGATGTGTAAGTTTAAAAAAAAACAAACCACAAACCCTACTTATTCATGTGTATAGTTTACAATATAGAAACATTTTTCCAAAAATCATATTTTTATTGTGTAGGTGTAAAATCTGTGGCAAGGTGTAGCAGAGGAGTTGTCTCTTGAGTTGATCCCAAGGTGTATTCATATTGAGTTTAAATTTATGTTCTTTTGTTACATACTTTTTGGTACTAATCTTGGTGTGACGATGGTAGCTGCAGGTGTATAAGCCTTCCAGGATTTTATATATATAATGAACTGTTTATGCCTACCTATATTAGAGATGTCAATGGTATATTTCATTATATAACACTTCTACTTTGCCTGGAAAGGGGAATTTCATATATTTTGTGGTGCTGGAATATCAAAGATTAGACACTTGCAGTCCTAATTTGAAGAATGATGGTAACGTGATTTGTAAAATAGGGATGAGTACAGTTCTTCGTGAAGTTGAGGTTCCTTAAACTGTTCTGTTCAGGAGCCTGGCAAGAAGGAGTGTGAAGGAGACATCTACGCTGCTTTTGGACCAGATTTCGTCTCTGTCTGGGAAGGTAAAAACTTCTTTTTATTTAGGTTTAGCAGAAAGATGCAGATACATATATTGCTCATAATAGATAAAAGAATCATATTTTTAAACCTAGTCTCTTTACAAGCTCCTTCGATATTTAGATCTAAAACAAATTTGGCCGTTGAAGTTGTGTGCTATACAGGTCCTGACAATTTGCAAGCCCAGTGGATGTTTTTCTCTTTACCTTAGCTAAGTTTCAATCACCTAAAACATTTTGTAACTTTTTAATCCTATCCTGGCAGGTAATTTCTGAGCTAATTCAACTAATTTTTAGTAAAAGGGAGGTACGTCTGCAGCCTACAAAATGCATCTAGCTAGTCTGAAGTAGTAAGCTTTTTTTTATTTCGCCTGTTTCTGCTTTTCCATTCTGATTTTGGATAAAAGGAGTTCTTGAAACATTTACAAGCCTACTTTTTTATTATTTTATTTTTTCCCCCGTGAAATGATAGTATGATTATTCAGAGCCATAGTTTGAAGATGTTTTTCCTGAATATTCAAAGTGTTGCATGCTTGTTTAGGAAAGTTCTTGTTTTAGTGTTTATAATAAATCTATGCCAGTCAAAACAGAGCCTGCAATTGAAAATGCTGATGCAGTTTTAAGGAATAGTTTGTGTTCTTTGTTTACTGTGGAGATGGTATTCCATTTTCAGGCTGTATGTTTCATCTTCAGCTTGTTTTTTAGGTTTTAGTAACTCTTTTCCTCCCTTGCCGCTTCATTCTCCATTATGCTTAGCCAGGTAATTTTTATTTTACATGAGGATACCAAACATTTGGTCAAATACCTTTACAATCCAAGAGCTTGTATTTCTGTTAGCTCTTTTAAAGGAAAACTCAAAATGGTTAAAACACATTCTCAGGCTTCTTTTTAGTAGACAACAATTTCTCATAAGGATTTTTTTTTCAGTCTACTGCTGGAAATATTACACATTTGTAAGCTTTTCTAATAGCTGTAAAAGCATTGCTTTATTGCTTGAGTATTCAAATAGTTACACATTTTTTCTATAGTGCTTATTGGCCTGAAATCTACATACAGACAGAAACATAATCCAGTATCTGATTATTTGAAAAGGATAATACATAGGGAGAAAAAAAAGTACATATTTTTCAAAGGAATGCAGTCACTGATGCCAAATGTATCACTCAGTTATCTTCATTCTGGACAGTACCCTACAGAAATGCTTTTCTTTGGATTATTGAAAGACTTGTAATGGGCAAAAAATACCTTTTATGTATGAAATAGAACAGCATTTGACTTACAAGCTGTAAAAATTGTGCTTATTTTAGCTCCAGTTGAAAGATCGTTAACTGATGAATTTCTGTCTCAATTGATGTGAATGAAAGAAGTGTTGAATAAAGGTGGTTTTCTTCAATTGAAGTACGTTTGAAATATCAAATCAGTAGCTCAAGAATGAAATGTAAAAAAGGTTTCGGTAACACAACTGCATATATTGTATTTGCTCTCATTTTTTAGGTGGGAGCTTTATTTACGTTGCCATGTAACGTAAGCAGCGTGGTGATCCCATCCCCTGCTCAGCTGAGTGCCAAGAAATGGAAGGAATATATGGCTAAGAAACCCAAGGTCATCACTGGTAGGTAAAGGGAACATGACTACAGGTATATTTTGGTGTGGTTATATCTTTATGTGTATATATTTATATATGCATAGTGGGGTTTTTCTATACATTTGGGATGCCCTTTTTTCTCCCATGAAATTAGGTCAGTGATTGTAATCTTTATTGAACCAAAAGGTTTTGGTGAATGGGAGTTCAGCTGTGCAGACTTGTAGAGGAGAACTGAAAGTGACAAGCTTTAGTGAAACACTGCATCTCCTTGAAACCATTTTGGTGTCCTGTCTGTGAGCTGAGATCCAGCTTCCACACACCTTCCTAAGGTGATTGTAGTATCTGCGGGCAAAGGGCTTTGCTTTGGATGGAAACTCAGTGTGCTTCATTAGATGCTTCCCTTTTAAACTTGTGTTTAATTTCAACCTCTTTCCAGAAAAGTACAGAGCATGGGGAAACGCTGGGTGCCTCCATTCAGCTGAGAGCCAGTTTGTTTAACCAGTGATTGAGAACAGGCTCCTTCTTCCTTACGAGGCTGTACTGATGGTGGCTGAGTCCTCTTACACAGTGCTTAGAAATGTTATTTGGGAGGTGAGAGCGTGGAATCAGTGCAGATGAAGACTGGGTGGAGTTTCTCAGTCAGCCAGTATTTTAGGTGAGAATGTTCCTCATGCTGCCCTGCCCGCAGAGGCACTCTGCAACAGTGACTGTGAGGGTCATAGGGACCAAAAGCATCACAGTAGAAGGAGCTTGGCGATAGCCCAGTGCTCAGAGTAACTTGCTAGCTTTAATCAGCAGCATAGTCCAACTCATCTTTGCTGCTGTAATTCATTTATTTTGTATACTCTTCAGTTTATCTCTTTTTAAACAGTAAATATCAGCTGTAGTTAGTGTGTTAAAAGGTGTTAATAGGATTGCTCACAGAACAGAAAAAAGCAAGTGCAAGAATTTTGATGGAGGATTATAGCTGGTTTTAAAGCTGTCCTGCTGATGGTGTTTCACAGTTATGTCCTGATGTTTTTTAAGTTCCAGAAATTGAACTGAAAGGAGAGTCTTGCAGATATTATTTCTTGCTACAAGGCAACGGCTCCGGAGGATGTAAAGCAACTTTGATTCATTCAGCTGGCCAGATCAATGGTACGGCCACTCTTGCTGCAGTAAATGGAAAGCTGAAGACAAAAGAAGAAGAAACAGAGTCAAGTAAGAGTTACTACTTATTTATTTAAGAGTTCCTGATTGCAGGCAAATGCTACTAAAATGTATATGTTCCTTTCATTCATTCCAGTCTGCGTTAAAGGAAGAAAGCAAGGAGGAATGTTACTTTTTGATTAGTATCTCTAGTCTTTCCACAACATTTTTTTTAAATTGGTAAAAACATAAAATAAGAGATGATTTATTCACACAATTTGCCACTACCATATTTTAAAAATCAACTATGTACACTTGTAATTAGTAATTTCTCATAACTATGATTAGTTATAAATGTTTTAACGTACAGGGACATCTAAGTAATACTAATGCAACTCAGATTTGCAGAAATTTAGTTTAAAAAGTGTGTATTGTTGGTGTAAAGACTGACCAGCTCGTGCCTAAAATCTAGTCAATTATCTGTTGACAAGCCCATTTCATTGATGGCTTAAAATCAAAACAGCAAGGCTGGCAGGCAAGTGGAATTTTAGGATCATGTCTTCAGTTACTTGGCAGCTGTCCCTGTTACTGCAGAGGGGTTAAGGGTATGAGTGAGCAGATGATCAGCTGCTCCACTAGGTAAGAGCATCAACGTAGACATTTATCTTGGAGAAATTGTCCTGTCACAACTACACATACTAGATAGCTCTCAATAACACTGACGAAGAGCACAGTGACCTGCATCTTCTCCTCTTATTTCTTTATTATTGAAGTAAATCCGTGTGTGATATGACTGACTGCTTACCATTTGTCCTAATTAAAATCCCATTAGGATGGTGTCAGAAGACTGAAAGTCCTTGACTGTATGTTGAGAGAACTTTTCTTTCCTGGTATCAAGCTTAGGATCTTTTTACCTTCTTTAAAGTCGAGTTAATTGTGTTGTCGTCATATTGGTTTTGTATAGAAATTCAAAAATACTGATCAGATATCTATTCCAAGTTATCCCCCTGGAGTATTAATTAAATTGTAATTAATTTCATTATTTTTTTTTTCCTAAATGATCAGCCATTTTTGAAAGTCTGGTGTTTCCTTGAAATATGGAATTGGTACGTCTGCTGAGTTTGTCTTTTTTAAAGAAGCACTTACTTGGTGTCTCCAAAGTCCTATGAGAGATCTTAATAATAGATTTCTCCTAATCTGTGCAGGCTTCTGTATTGCTGACTTTATCAAGTCCCTGCCGCGTTTTTGTGGAGAGGAGATTGTACAGAGAGAAAAGAAACTGTCTCGTCTCCAAGTGTTTGCCTTGAAGGAGTATCTCAGTAAGTAACAGGGAGAGCACTGGTAGTTCTCCAGCTGGTATTGAAAAGGTCTTTATTTCAAACTGAATGTGACAGTTCACCTTACGAAACAGAGGTGAGTTGATCACTTTGTGAAGAAAAAAGTGGAGCTTTAAAAAGAAACTGTTTGCAGTATATGCATCATTGTATGTCAGATAGTGACTTAAAAATCAAGGAAAAGAGAACGCTGGACTTAAAGTTGGTGGGTATTTGTCACACTAGTACTCTGAAAGCCTGAACATAGTTTTGGAATAATTCTGTAGTAATGAACTCTTTCTCTGCTTTGTTTATGTTATCCTTTCTTTTTTCCAAAATACCCCCTTACTGCTGGGTGTGCCTTCTGCGCAAAAAAAGAATTCTGTTCTGGAGTTTTCAAGTTTTTTTAATTTTATGCTTTCTTGCAAAATTCTTAAACAGCAAAGAAGGCTGCATTGGAGATCTGTTACATTTATCATGATACGTTGTTCATAATAATAACGGAGCTGTCATCCTCTGTAGATTTTCATGACTTTGCAGAGAAGTACATTTGACTGTCCTGATTTTTTCCGTCTAAGTCCATTGCTCAAAGAGACTCAATTAAAACAAGAACTGCTTCTGAGAGATTGGCTAGATTATTGAAAATGGCATACTGTGAAGATAATTTAAGGGTATTATCATTAACAGAATACCAGTTTCAGGAAAATAAGGTTTCTGCTAATACCTCTTCCACCTCCCACCCCTGCCCTCAGATTCCTGTTTCCTTTAACCCTGAGTTTGGGGCTGCCTTAGAGCTTGTGTTTCAGGTTTTTTTGAGTGGGTCACTGATTTCCATTAGGATGAAACTGAGTAGGAGCAGTTGTGATTTGCTAGTCATCCTAAATCATATCAGAATTGCCTGACCCTTGATATTCTGACCAAAAATACCGGAAGAGGCTATCACTTATATTGGAGCCACACTCCAGTAGAACTGGAGCACTAAAAATAGGTGGGTTGGAGGCTCTGCAGTCTTGAGCTTTTCATGTTTAGGCTCAGCAAGCCCAGATGTTTGTCTCTGGGGGATTCAAACCTGGGTATACTCAGAAATGCACACATACAGAAATTAAAGGACCGAAAAGGGGTCATTCACATCTCATTTCAGCTATTCTCACTGCTAAATTTTTTCACTTCCCAATGGAATACACCTCACATGCCTTGCTTAAGGGCACAGTAGTAAGTGTCAAGCTAACTTGTGCTATTGTTTTAGGTTGGGAAGGTTTTTGTTTGATTGATTTTTAGCAGACTACAGTTATTCTTTGTTTCTTAGGAAATGTAGTAGCTTTTCTTTCTTTCTCTTTCCTTTTATAGGGAGAAAGGAATTGACCGAGCAGCCTCCAGTTATTTCTACTGATGAGTTCAAAAACTTGTTAGAACTTACAAGAGAATGTTTTCTGGACCTGTGCAACACTAGTCTTCCTAAACCTGTTCAGCAGAAGGTGGCCAATAAAACTGGGTCATGGTCATGCACTCTGAGTTCTGGTAAGAATTGTTATTTAGAAAATACACTGCTTATTCTCTTTTGATGTGTTCTCATACCAGTTGTCAATTTTTTACTTAAAGGAGGAGAGTCTTTTACCAAGAGGGAAAAATATAAGGAAAAGTAAAGCAGCTTTCTAGGCTTTTTGCAAACTGAAATTACCCCTGTGTTTAGCTATTTCCTTTCTTTTCCTTGACAACAAAAATTATGCAGAAAATGTTTGTGATCACAGCATCAGGCAGGTTTTCCATATATTTATATACTTTTATATATATATATATTTAAAACAATATATACATACACATACGAGAGATATATATATATATATATTAAAAAAAAGCAGTATATATGCATATATATATTTCTTTAAAGGATAAGATTCTTTACTTATGTTAAGGCTTGTCCACCTTATATTTCTTGCAGAATCTGATTTAATGGAGCCAAATCCATTGGAGTGGCCAGAAAGACATGTTCTTCAGAATTTGGAAAACTTTGAAAAAAACAAACAGAAAATGAGGTAATGGTTAAATACTGGAGATTTTATTTGTGGTGGCTGTTGAATATCACTCTACAGGAGCTGTATATGTTGACAGACATTTTGTAAGCAATGTTTCCTGTGAAATATTTGAAAACAGTTTAAGGCTAAAACTAAGTTTCTGTTAATTTCCAGACTAGCAGTGATTATTTTTTTTCTCTTTTTTTTAATGCAATGAGATTACTATATTGAATTTAAAAAAAAAAAAGCCATAAGAAGTTTGGTCTTTTTTGCTTTTCCTGTTGTCAGAGTTTCCATGTTTGCACATTCATCTGAGCAATTGCTGGGGCATAAAGACAGCCAGCGGGAGTCATTGACACTGCTCGATGCTAAAGAATTACTGAAATATTTCACACCAGAAGGGCTGCCAGTTGGTGATCTCCAGCCACTACAAATTCCCAAACGGTAAGAATCCAGCACACTAAGTCCACTGAAGACCATGCTCAGAACTGATACAGGGGAGTGTTAACAACAGCTGAATGAGAATCTCAGAGTGGCCTAACTGTATTTGAGTCTATAACTTGCAACATGATGTGCCTGGCAGTGAAATCAATTGTTGCAGCCCTCCAGTTGGTGTTGGTATTTAGTTCTTTCAGAATCTGAAGAGGCCAGAGATGATGTTGGTCCTATGCATTTCAATAACAAAATAATCACCTGATGTGCAGAAGTGTGCAAGTAGACCTTTGCCATGGCTGTGCTACTGGGCACTGCCACCATATGAGTCCATTTCCAAAAGTATTTCTAGCAAAGCAGAACTTACTGTGGTGGAATTTAGTTTTATTGGTGTTTCATTCAGTGGAGTGGAGACTGGGTGGGAAGACAATTAAAGTGAATAAAGGGCAATAGCTGAGCCTATTTAAATGTGTTTGTCTCGTGTCGTGCTGGCCCAGCATTCCTGTCAGTATTCTTAGGTGGGAAAGTGTTCTTTAAAGAAAGATTGTCTACTCTGACTGCTTCGCAAGTATTCATCCTTAGTGTGTCTGGTAGTAAGTAACCACTGCTTTTTCAGCAGGAATATTTATACAAGGAGTTAATGGAGTAATTTCCAGGTTCTGAATGTCTATTAGAGTTAAGGCCAATCGATATAAGTGTCAGATAGTGTTTGTAGAAGCAGACCCTATGTGCCATGGCCTGCTAGGTAAGCAACACAATCTTTACAGTCGCTAGAGTTGTATTTCTTGACCTTGAATGTGGAATGATACAAAGTGTAATGGAATTATTGGATACAGCCCTCGATCTTTATTTTTAAACTTCATTATATGTGATAAATTAAGAGGGCTTGTGAAAGGGAAAGGTTCTGTAGGATTTTGGAGACTTTGGAGACTACTTATTGGAGTTTTGAAACTCCCTTGAAGATGTTCTGACCAGAGAATTCAAGCAAGTTGGAAAATATGTAGTGAAGATTGAGAGTCTCCTACAGAGTTGTAAGTTAATGAGTGCAGATGATTTAGGATTTTGGCTATAATGAAAAATATTTTCATTCCAGTTATCTGTGAGGGAAAGAAATGGATAATTTGTTCACTACAAAAATGTTTTTTTAATCCCTGATTTTTCAAAAGCCTCTAGTGAACTTTATAGCATAGAATGCTTGGATTGTCTTGAGTTATTTGCTTTGAGTTATAGCCGAGTGAGGTCTGATTTTTGAGGGAGGTTGGCCCAGTTTGCTGAGATTTCTACCAGTTGATATGATGATGAAACCTTTGCTTTGTCATACATTACTGTAATATGAGTCTCTCTCCTAGTTCTTAGAGATCTTGGATATCTAAGAGAAGGATAAAACCAATAATAAAGCAGCCTAAATGTTTTTGCTTGAAGACTATGAGGTCTGCCAATGCCTTACACTGTATTCTGCTTGGTCTGAATAGAAATCAGAAATCCTATGAAAATCCTTAGTAAAGTTGCTGTCTGGGAGATGGTGACCCATTCCCTTTCTGACATACCAGGTTGCTGTTACTGTTGTCCAGCAGAACTCTGTACTAGCAGCTGCTCACCTTCTAGCACGTGCTCTGATTACATTCTCTGGAATAATTAGCAGCTCTGCACAGTAGAGGCTCAAGCACAGTGACTACAGACCCTAAGATTTTCCTGACCAACAGAAGGAAAAAAGAGATTTTATGAGACACTGGTGAATTAAAGGAGTTTTCACTTGCTTTGCATGTTTGAGCTTAAATAGAGGTTTGATAGATTAGAGTTTTGCCTGACAGCCTTTCTAAATGACCATCTTGCTAGATTCAGTATTGCTTCTTTCCCTGGATGTTTTTCTCAGATAATTTTTCCAGTGGTAATGGTGCAGAGACAGTTTATGTGAATAAAACTTGAAGCAATGTGTAAGTTTCAGATGCTGCTACATCTTGCCTTCATCTCTCCCCTTCTTTGAGATAATTGGGATGTGACTTTACAAGGTATGTTAGGATCTAGCAGGAAGCTTTTTCTGTCTTTCTATGGCTTATTCTGTTCAAATACTTTGACATACATTCACATGATTTAGTTGCAGAGTGTTACTAGCTGGAATTCATGTACCACAGGAGCCAAGTGGTTAGTTATGAAACTAAAGGGAATGAATTTACTGATTATGGAAGGTCAGTTCCTGGTTTCTCTCAGTTCATTCTACTACTCAGGTGCCCCATTGTGAAATGGGATTATAGCTGCCTGGCTTTATTGATAAATTGTTTGGAGCAGTGACCTCTAAAATAGTTGAAATGTCTATGAGCTTCTGTAATAATAATAGATCAGTAGGTATTAGTCAGTTGAACTTAAATTCTTACTTCAATAAAGATTTAATTTTCCATTGATGCTGTACCCCAGGGCCTTGGCTACAAGACATGCTGGTTTGGTCTTTCTGTGTCAAGGCTTTTGTATCTGACTTCTGGAAGTATAATTGATCCTGAGTGTAACTAGTTAAAATAAATCTGTATTTTTTTCCTTTCAGTGAAAACACATTCATTTTGACACCAGAACTTACTCCTCGGAAACTCAGAGGTTTGCCTTTTGAAAAAGCAGCTGGATGCCATTATCATGGACTTGAGTAAGTTTTCTGGCTGCTTTTGCCAAAATTATTTTTCAGCTTCCAGTCAAGGTATAATTAGAAACATTTCAAGAAACATGATTGTTAAGTGTGCAAAGCTTTATGTATCCTTTTCCTTCATTGGAACCACTTTGCACATGCCACCTCACTCTTTCCTACCTTTATTTTATTTACTGGTTTAAATTGCAATCTGCCTGCCTTGATGGTAATGTAAAAACTTTCAGGTTTTTTTTCCTTCGCTGTACTGCTGTAGCTATTCTCAGTGTCTCTGAAAATTTTCATTCAGAATTAGACGTGGCAAAGGGGAGAGTTCATTAGTACATATGAAGTACATAAATGAACTAAGTATGTAATTTCTGCTTTGTTATTAATTGTAGGCACTTTCAGAATAATAATCAGGAAGCTTGTGAGATCTGCTGTGAAGTTGGCTGTGTGTTCAGGGAACCTGAAAACACCAGTGGCCAAGTGTTAGTGGAAACAGTCTTTGAAAGGATTGATAAGGCTAGGACTGTATTTAGTGCCAGACAGTCAGCATTCATTATTTGTCAAAGCTTCAGGTGGGGAAACATCATATAAAGTAGCTGTATAAAAATTGTTTAGAAAAATATAAATATTGTGATTGTGTATGTCCTTTTCCTCTTCTCCTCAAACACAGGAGTAGATAATTCAGCATAGCTCTTCTGTGTGAAGAGACTCTTAGTCTTAATGCAGTATATATTTAGGAATGCAGTGGATACCAAGCATAGGCCATTCAGTCATCACCCAAATTTCTGCCACCTCCTAAAATCATGTTTTCAGATTATCAGAATGTGACTAATGATGCTGCTGGCATTTTTCTCCTATAAAACTGCACAAATAGTTTGGTTAAGCCTACGTTTAATATCTGGTGGTTTTAACCACGTTCTCTAGGGAAGTGAAGAGGTCATTCTGTCCAGCTGTCTGTTTCTGCTCTTTTTCCAAGTGGTAATTCGTGAGCCCGTTAGCCTTTTTAGATTTGTAACAAAAGGCACAAGAGAGGCAACCGGGTAGATGAAAGTGGTAGTTTGCTGATGTGCCTGACCTCAGCATGGCTGTGCGTGGGGCACAGCACAGCTCCCACTGCCTCTTCTCAGAGCCAAATCTGACAGGTAGAGACCAGAGAGGCCTGGATATCACGGAGAGGAGGGAGACCCTGGCATATTAATGTTATAAGAGGAATGTGCTGGCAATAAGGGAGGGAAGCAGAAGACCAAGATGGTAGAAAGTCGTGTGAAAGGGAGGAACCTAAAGCTGCACAACCAGAATGTGTTGTAGCAAGAGTATCGTAGGAAGCATATGATCTTTTGGAGCAGATGTGTTTTCTACCATGCAGTTGTGATTGCAGTTTCCATCTGCATAGCTGATGTATTTATATTTGGAAGTAAAGTCTTGTCAACAAAACCAGGAGTCGCAGTCATGATTAGATCAAATTCCTGATGTAATGAACCTGTGCCAAACACTCGGATCCTGTGTTGCAAAGAGAAAGTAATTGCTGTTAAAGCAGAGTGAGTAAAATGGCAATTTAACTTCGAAAGATAAAAACATTTTTATCTTTGTAGGGGATGTGATTACTCAGGGGACTGAGAATATAAATAAGGGAAATTAAATACCTTGAAATTTGTAAGTTAAGAGAACTTACTCTTATCAGATAATGAATTTATTTCTAGTGGAAAGTCTCACTCAGCTGTAGAAATGGATTCAGTGGTCTGCTATTAGAAAAGTGAATTTCTCCCGGAATATGGAAATACTTTGAAGAAAGTGGAAAAATCGTATCTAGTGATTTAATGTAACTCTGTGTTGAGAGATAAAGGTAAATACTATTTCTAGAGTTCCTAAAAATAGGAAACATTGCGAAGTAGTTTGGAGGGTGGGCTGAGAGATAGCTCACATTGTTCAGAATGCTTGTTAAGAAAAGGATGGAATAATATTGGATAATAGTGTTGTCTTTCCCTGCAGTAGAGGGTATTGGTCTCTTGCAAGGAATCGTGGAAATCATTTACACCAAAGAGTTACTTAAGAGGCATTTTGTATTGTTGTAATTTCATGAGTGTGTTTCACTGAGTTACCAGTGTTCATTTGTTCTCTTTCAGCTCCACCGTATTTAATACAGTTTCTTCTTTTGATTTGGTTGATTAAGCCACATATTCTTTGTAATCACTAGGAAGCTTGTGCTTGTTCAGTGACACTCCTGTATTTTTAGCATTTTAAAATGTGACTCTCTCATAGAGCAGTGCATTTCCAAAAGGTGCAGTTAGCCAGGAATCTATACTAAATAGCATTTAAAACACTTCCCATGCCCTGTCTTCCTCATAGTTACACTCAATTACATCATTACAATCTCACAGCAGCCTAGGTTTTGGCACAACCTGGCTTTTCCTAAAAATATGTCGGTTTCATTGCATTTTGGGATTCCTGAAGCGTTGATAACTTGCAAATTACATATATTGTACTTTGGATTGTTTTCTTCAGACATTTCCCATGTCATTCTCTTATGGCATATGCACTGAAAAAAATCTCAGTTTGGTTGTTTGGTTTGGTTGGGGTTTTTTGACCAGGAAAGTTGCATTCTCCAAGGAATAAACAGAGGGATATTGTATGATCATATTATCACATTAGAGTCTATCATTTTATATATAATAACCTGATATTTTCTGGATCTCAGTGTTTTGGTGGATGCTTGTAAGGTCTGAGGTCTGACAATGCTGTATCCACTGTGGTGTGCTGGGTTTGTCATGTATTTGAGTTCAGAGCTGTCCTCCTTCCTATTTTACTGGAGTTTCCCACTGGTTGGCATGTGAACAGGGGTAACATCTGTTACATACTGGCTGAATTAATTGTAGATGTCCCTGTTCATGACAGGAATTGATGACGTTTAAAGGTCCCTTCCATCACAAACTAGTCTATGATTCTATGAACATGAAAACCAGTGAAATCTAAAATGGAGAGACTGGTGATACAAATGTAACACAGAGCTGACTATGAGGAGCAAAAAATCTGTTGTCAGCATCATAATCCATCACTTATTGTTCAAGGAAAAAATTCTACTAATGTCCATGGAAATCTTCTTTGTAAGACCGCAGGGTGAAACTTACAAATAGGCTACAATTCACCTTCTTTGCTGGAGTTAGACTTAACTATAGCTAAATCCATCAGGCATGTGTTAATTTACTGGGCTGGTTTAAGGTATCTTTCAGAGCAATGTACCAGTCCAAACAAAAAAAGTTTTGGAGATAATACAGTAGTCCGGTTTGGTTTTGTTTGTTGTTTTTTTTTCTCTGATTGTAAGAAAACAAGAGACTTTCACAGATTTCTCACCGATCTCAATTTTAGGTACTGTCTAGATAACAGAAGAGCCTTAGAGAGAGACGTGGGCTATGCTGAACTTCAAACTCGTCTTATTCGCTACGAGACTCAGACCACTTGCAGCAAGGAGTGCTGCCCTGTGCCGGTCGTCCTCAGCCCCCTCCCATCCCCTGCAGTCGTGTCAGAGCCTGGCAGTGTCCCTGATGGAGAGTCTTTACAAAGCGAATTCAAAACAGAGGCATCAAGACTAAAACGCAGATCAAAAGACTTGGATTGCTTTTATCCCAAGAAAAGGTAATGCACTGAATAAAATGAATCTTTAGCATGAAATATTTCAGTAGTCACTTGAGAAATTCATCTTTTCTTTCATCTCAAAATGTTCTTAGTGAAGCTATCTAGACACATATTCTAGTTGTTTAAGCCTCTTCTTTAGGTTTGTATCTTTTCTCAAGTGTGACTTCTCATTGATGGCATTAGATTAATCAAAACCATGCAGCACAGGCACATTTTATTTAAGATGTTTGGGGTTGTATCTCGCAAAGTCTCAAGTGCCTTTGAAAAGATGACAGTACAAATGAACAGCTAAAGATTTAGAAAGCCAAGCACTGTACAAACAGAATAATTGAATTCCTAATCCAAAGGACTGCTGGGATAAGATGACCTACCAGAATTCAAACTTATTGTCAGCCTTGTTTATTAAAGTCTTTCATGGAAGCCTAGTTTTTAAGACTTTCCTTTGTACCTTGTCCTCACTGAGAAGATGCAAACTTTTTGCATCAATAAAAAATTAACTGCTTTGTAACACTACTTCTGCCTTTACTTTTTTTGCTGTAATGTTTCACTTCTTCCTTCTTTCCAGTTTGATACCCTTTGCAATCTAACCACAGTAAGCCTTTAATTAGAAGTATGGCTTTAGGAACATCCATATCTTTTGCAGCTTACTGAGTAGTTAGAAAAGCAGATGCAATTGTACTTAGCATTTCATTAATTGGAGTTTCAGAATTATGGATGCTCTTACAGTTGAAGGATGAAGCATTGCAATGTTCCAGTAGAATTGTAATGCTCAACTTCCCAGAGTGAAAGATGAGTTGTGACATTCCTGTAGGGCCAAAAGGAATTGGATTGTTTCAAGAAGTTTTGTCTTATCCTGAGACTGGAGGCCAGCAAACTCTGCTCTTCCTCACTGTCTAGATGCAAAACTACCCTTTCTGCCAAAGAGTTTCTCTTCTTAGTTCTCTCATTTCTTCAATTTGTTTCTAGACGTTTCTGATCAGAGGTGCAGTGAGTCTATGTATCAGAGACCAAACCATGTTCTTCTAATACAAAAAATGTTACAGAATGTTTTCATACGCTGTTTGCAAGAATGTATAGTACTTACTCTGCTCAGAAGCAGCCTCTACAGCACAAACAAAGGCACCAGAAGAGTCCGTACAAAATCTAAAAGTTCTTATTATTTTTTATTTATTTTATTTTATTTATTTTTTACCTTCCCAGGCTAACCAAGTCTGAGAGTACAGAGTCCCTCCTCTCTCAGGCAAGCGGAAGTAGTGGGAATCACTACACAGATGCTGTAACGAGGAAGCGCTCTAAACGATCGGTTTCTTTGGCTTCGATGGCACTGAAACAGCCTGGTCAAACCCCCAGAGCAACCAGTAAGGCTGACTCTGCAAGTTGCAAAAGTGGAACTGAATCTGAGACTTCAAAGCCAGCTAAGGAATCGAGATCCCAGAAACACACAAGGGTAAGAGTCTGTTTTTTGCTTAGTGAAAAAGCATCTCCTTGACTTCTTTCCATGTGAATTGATATTTTTATGTTTTAACTCAAAGTGAACTGTCTTCATCTCTGTTATTGTTAAGTTTCATTCTGTTCAGTTGTGTGAGGGGAATCCTGCAGGCACTGAGAAGGGTGCTGCAGAAGCAAGGAGTGAAAAAGTATGTATATCACACCCAGGGAATTAAGACTGAGAGAGATAACAAAGGAGTAAAAAATGTGGGAATGCATATCAATGAACAGGAGTTAAGAAATGTAGAAAACTCATGTAAAACCTAAAGGCACCAGAGAAATACCTGTGCTGGAAGGGTGTCCTGGTTTCAGCTGGGACAGTCAAAGCCATTGTGGAAGAACAGACTATTCTGAGAATAAAAAGATATTTCAGTAGTTGAACAAGCCTATTAATTGAGATAAAGTTTAAATAATTTGATGCAGCAATGTTTCATTTATAGCAATATATATCATTTTATGAGATGTTTAAACATCTCTGATACAAAGAATGTCAGAGTAAATTTTCTAATCTGACTGTAGTGTCTGATTTTTTTTTTTTTTTTTAATAAGGATGTGTCAAGGGAATATCAATATAAAGTTATATTTTTATGTATATATTATTTTGGAGAGGAGAAAACCCACGCCATTATAATTTTTTTTTCTGTCTTCAAGCCTCATGTGAATATTCACCAATATGTTACATTGTTTTGACATGTAAGCATTTCCTTAATTTTTGAGATTGGAAATAGATTGTTAAATAACAGAGCCAAGATCAAAAAAGTTCAGGTGTTGGTTGTGTGTTTTTTTTTCTTTCCTTGCTTTGAACAATTTTTCATGCCAATAATTGGGATGAACTTTCTGATTGTGTTTCTGTTGTTTCCAAGATGCTGAAGGAGGTGGTTGCCAAGACTCTTCAAAAACATGGAATTGCAGAGGATCACAAGTGCTTCACATCATGCAGCCAGCGCCTGTTTGAGATATCAAAGTTCTACTTAAAGGTAACTGGAAGATGTGCTCTTACAGTCGTTGGTTACTAGTGAAGTGAACCCATTCCTGAATAAAACTCGAGATGGACTTTGGGATATTCAGACTTGAATAATCCTTAGTGCTGTGTTAGTAGAGTTTAGAGAGTGTGGGTAAACCTTTCGACTCGTCAAATACAAAATATAGTTTAATAGTATATTTTAGTTGTTATTTGTTTTTAAACCTTATGAAGCAGTATTCTTTTATGTGAGATAACAGACCGTTGCTTTAACATGGTAGGTAAGGTCATGCTTACGCTTCCTTTACTGTGAGAGCTCAGCTTCTCCCTCGTTCTAAGGCTGTTGGCTCAACAGGTACCTTGCACAACTGACTCACATTCTGGTTCCCTGACACGCTCACAGAAGTCCTTGTTAAATGCACTGTAATGTGCACAACTACCTAACACACACTGACTTGGCAGCACTGTGTAGAATTGCCCCCTCATTTTTAGAAGGAGATGAGAATTCTTTCTGTAATACCTAGGACACTTTGTCACTGCTTCAACCCGTGTTACTTCTAGTAAGTAGTTACTTAATAGTCTAGGCACAAAATTGAGTTAAATTACAGTACAGGGTGTTTAAAAGCTATTGCTTGCAAGCTGAGCTGCTGTTTCTGTTTGTTTGCATTCATTTATCCTACCGCTATTTGTGAACTAACTCAGTTTAGTCAACTTCAGTAAAGGGGATTTAAGGTAAATGAAGTTGCAGTTGAAGAGGGCTGAATGCTTACACCGATGAAGAACCAACATCTTAAATAATTGGAACACAGTTATGCAGTCATTCTGTAAGCACTCCCAAAATCTGCCCTGAAGGAAAATCATCTAATCCAAAATTTGAAAGGGCTGCTTGTAGGGATGACTGAGTAGGATAAATCAGATGGGTTCACGGTGCCATTGCAGGCAGGAGAGCAGAGGGAAGAGCACTGCAGAGATCCCGGCCTTTGGAAAGCCCACAGAGAGAGGTGTAGCAGGATTTTGTTGTCCTGAACTGTCTTGCAGTAGGAATGCAAGTCTGTAGGAGCCCTTTGAATCCTTTTCTGTGCTGCGTGCTTCAGAAGCACGGTATCATTGGTATCATCTTCCTTCGGAGACAAATAGTAAGTGAATTCTCTTAGTTTTCCCTTCTCTTTAGGCAAAGTTAAGTGCTTGCTTTGTTTAAAAGAGTGGACTACCTTGGGCTAAGTGGACTGCAAAACAGACGAGCTGTTCCAGGCTTTTCCTTTCTTGTATTGCAATCTAAGTGCACAATTGATTTCTTTGTTTATCTAGAAATAAGATTTCAATCAACACTGTAGGAACTTTGGATATCATTTAAGAAAAAAAAAAAAGTTTCTTTTCTGGAAGTGTGGGGAAGGTTAGGAAAAGTGTGGCTCAGTAGCATGATTGAGCACTAGGTTTGGATTGTTGTCGGGAAAGCTGCAACCCGTTGGAATAATTTAGATTATTTCTTTTAAAAAATAAAAGTCAAATAATTCTTCTGTGGTTCTGAACAAGGTGATAAAAGCATAACCTTTACCCTGGTTATTAGGGCTCTTATAATCCAAACTAGAGTAAGCATGCGAGTTTGCTAACTTGTGTGGCTTTGTGTTTCCTATTTAGGATCTTAAAACTTCTAGAGGACTTCTTGATGAAATGAAGAAAACAGCAAACAACAATGCTAAACAGGTAAGACTTTGTTTATTTGTGCCTGTAACCAGGGAAGGAGAAATGTAGCTGCTGCAGCCTGGCTGTAGGATGTAGGTTTAGTCCATAGCTTCAGGAGATGAAGAGGTGCATTCCGTTGGCTGCGCATCTCGGTGTCACTCTCTGATCTCACAAAAACTTTCTCTCAATCAGTCTTCCCATGGTATAATTTCCAGTTGCATATATTCTGGTTTTAGATGGTATTCTAGTTACAGCTGTCAGTGTGATGTGCCACAGTGAGAAACGGAAATGAAGGCAAGAAATGTTTCCACATCTCTGGGAAAAAAAAATAAAAAGCAGAGATCAGGTCTTTCTTCATTTGAGAGAAGCCTGGGTCATGAGGGAATTCTTCTTTCCTTGTGTCGAAGTAAATAACATTTCATTTCAAAGGTTAGGAAGCAATAAATGGATCTATAAAAAGAAATAAATTTCTTAAAAATAAGCAATGACAATTAGTAATTTTAAGCTTGGGAATAACTGTAACCACAAGGGCTATCAGATGAGCTTATTTGTGTCTAAGGTGGGACTTACATGAACAGTAGCACAGAGCAAATGGCAGGAGTAAATACTCCTGTCCTCCAGAAATTAAGTAACTCTCTGATTTGAACTGTGAAAAACATGCTGAGGTGACTCCATGATTTAAAACAAAAAGGAAGATCATGCAAACTTGTACAGTTTTCAAAATAATAAATTAAGTGGGAGGATTTGAACTGGGGTAGTTAAATAAGAAAACCTCCACTCTTAAGTGAAGCTGCTAGATCCCCACAGAATTTATTCTGCGAGAGCAGTATTTATTGTGCTTTGCACCATGTTTCCTTGTGAATTGCTTCCTACAGATCGTAAGGTTTCAAACACTCCATGGGTTGTGATGTTTGCTGGAGAGCTGGGATCTACTGTCTTTGTACCCTGTTTCTCACCACCAGCCTTGTCTGGGGAGACCCGCCAGTAGTTTTATGTATGTTTGCTGCTGGCGAAAGAGCCATTAAAATCAGGAATCTCTTCAGGTGGACACCTCTCCCTGCATTAGTCAATACTTTGAAACTGCCTTATAAAAATGTAATTGCCCAGGACAGTCAGTGGCCTGAACGGCTACCTGGTTTGGGAAACAGCAGTCATACTGGTGGTAGATACAGCAGTGCACAAATTACCCTGTGTTCTTTCTGCTATGGCTCTAGGAATTTTTTGGGCTGGAAACACTGGCATTGGTGTTGTGTGTGCACCTTGTTGCTGGTACATGGGGTGAAGTAGCTCAATTCAGGGAATCTAAAAATGCATTTTTGTAAAGGCAGCGCATTCTGTAAAACAAAATACAATTCTTGGGTAGTGCTGCATCCTCTCAGTTTGTTAACAACACTCTCTTCTTTTGAATGGATTGCTCTGAAATTCTGTTCAGTAAACACCACTGGGTGGTGATAAAGAAAGAATTGATAAAACGTATGCTATGTTCCTAACTCCAGTTCTTGTAGGGAACTTATATAAATTGTTTTCTTCTTTCTTTTCCCAGGTGATCGAATGGGTTTTGGAGAAGACTGGCAAGTAGAGGCACGGACCAGCTGCTGTTTCTCCAAACTGCCCCGACAGAGCACTTCCCATTGTAAGGCAAACCTCACGCTGCCCGACACGTGCACACACGTATCTACACACCAGAAGGACTCTGGTCAGTGTATAGACTCGTGTAGACTCAATTCTCAAGCACAGTAGTGCATTTTAAAACTTTTTATACAAAGTGTTTTAATTTTTTATAAAAATTCAAATGAAAATAAGTTTTATTTTATATGCATATTTATTATATTCCTTTTAACAATGAAACATAGCTTGACTTGGTTTGATAAAGCTTTGTATGTTTTTCAACCAGCATATCTGGTTTTTATGTGAATAAAACCTCCACCAGATTTAATTTTAATAACAAAACTACTTTGCTTCTTTTTACGTAAAAACGTCTCTTCTATTTATTATTTCTTGCTGTTATATAAACAGCTGTTTACAGCGTTAACCGTTGACATTTTATAGAATAATTAAGACCAGTTTCTTTTTCCGCAGTTGAAAGTAAATATAATTAGAATTTGAGTTATCTCTGTGTTGTTGTATACGAGGAAAAAAAAATAGCATGTCTTTTGAAATGTGATGCGAGGTCCCATTAAAGAAAGGATCATTGTTTTACAAGCTGAATTTCCGGGATAATTTCACGTGTGCTCTTTGTAACACTCCTTGGAAACGATTCATGACAGAGTTCTGAGGCTTCTTTTCATGGGGGAGGAGAAAATCAAAGCGATAGCAGCGGTGATGGTTGGGAGGGCTGTGAAGAGCTGGTGTGCTACCATGGATGTAATGGAGAGGATGATTTCTACCCGAGTTGCAAGAACAGGAAAATACTAAATTCAGCCTCTGTTTGCTTAAACCTCAGGCATGTGCCTGGCTTCTACTGCTATAATTATTCAAATTAGTATTATGTTGAGATGAAGAGTTCCTACCAAAGCAAATCTGTTTTACAGCTTTTAATGTAAGGATTTCCTATTCATCATATAAACTAACATGATTAAAATTGATAGAGATGCAGTGTTAGTGTTTGCTATATTCTCCTGGAAGGAAAATGGATTAAGCAATACTAACATAAACGAAATTTAATATTATGAAAGAGTAATTGAACTAAACCATGTGTAGGTTGGACTTAATGCTGTAAAATCTACTCATTCTCTCAAGAGCCTTCCTGATTTTGTGACATTTATTCTTTGCTTAATTCTATTTTGTGTAAAGCCAAGCCCTGAGGAGGTTGTTCGTGACTAAGAGGATCTTGCATTTAACTCTTCTGTTCCCTTTTTCCAATGTGTGTCGCTCTCCTGAGCTCTTCAAGACCTTTTATCTGTGGGTGTGCACTTGTTTTATCCTCGCTCTGAGGCTACAGAGCTGCTTTTCTCTGCCAGTGGCCTCCAGAGAGTGCAACGTGTGGCTTAACCCAGCACAAACACAACTGCTCTGGAGCAGGATTACGTTTATCTGCAAAACCCCATATATTCATAGTGCCCAGGTTAACAACTTCAAGGGTCTCGCTGGTTTAGTGAAATAGAAACACAATGAGGGTAGATAATTAAAAAATTATTTAATAAGCGCATGCACAAAATTGCTCCAATGTATTAATTACTCTATATGGCTCACATTTCCTCGCATTCAAGACAAATCATTTCTTCATGGAATTGTGTGAATATGCTTAGAGACAAGCAATTCAAAATACATGAATGCTTACACTTCTAATGTGTTAAATTTATAATACTTTGTGGATAAAAGAAGAAATTAATCAAGATATTAATCTTCCTTAACATCCAATATTGCATGAAGAAAGTCTCTACTTCCAAATAGAGAGAGAAAAGTCTTAAGTTATAATCTCATATCCTCAGCCTGGATGCTGATACTATTGTCCGAATACTAAAAGTTTCACTTCCCTCTTAGTTTTGAGGGGTTTTATATATTTCTAATTACAAAAAAAAATTGCAGTTAACAAACTGTGCATAACTTTATAAGCAAAAGTACAGAAACTCTACGTTTCTTTGCTCATGGCAGCAAGCTGTAAATATTTTATGAAAATCCTTTTCAGGAAGGTAATTAGTCTTTGTCTGGCTTTCTTGATGGAAAACTATCTGCATGTATCTGTGCAAGGGCTTCTATAAAAAAAGTGTTTCATAAAATGATTTTCTATTATTTTCCCATTCCTCCCTTACCTCTCTGTGGTGTCCATAGTGAGCCCTGGCTTTAGATAATATCTATCTTACTTCATGAGCAAGTAGGACCCAATGGTTATTGTTGTAATTAATTCTGTAGTCTTAAAGAGGGGCCTGAAATGATCAGCAGGAAAGCAGTTGGGGAAACATAAGCATTTTGATGTTTTGTTTGTTTGTGATTCCTGGTGCTGAACTCGAACAGTGCTGCCCGTGTCTCATCTGCTCCTTGTTATTACGTTGTGGTTTTTAGGGTAAGGGAGGGCTGGTTTATTATCATGGTTTAATAACACTGTGCCCCATTTGAGCTGTGATAACTGTTCTTGTGGCTGCTCTGAACCTACAAAAGAACATGGAAAATCATTTGTCTGAACAGCGTTAATACAAATTATCTTACATCTGTCGTAGTCCAAAAACCCCACACTGAGGTTTCCCACAGCTCGACTAACACGTTGTAATTTTTGTGATGTGGAATGTGATGTTACTCTTTGCCTCTCAACTTCAAATTATTTTCTTTTTTTGTGGCTGACAAACCCCAAATCCAGTGTGCCCTGTGTGTGCTTCCCGTAGAAGCTTTGGGTGGTTGCTTTCAGCCAAGATGCGTGTCACATTCACCAGTATAGACCTCTGTCTGCCCATAACCCATGTTCTGCCCTTACACAAGGTTGGGGTAAGACAACACCGATCTGGTTGTGATGACTTGGTTGATGATGATTATTCCAGTATTAGAGCAATTGCATGATGAATATTGCTGGGCTACAACACAATTTAACTGGGGTATAAATGCTTTTTCAAATTCACACTCTCCAGTTCTCCTTTGAGATTTGTTTTCTATTCTGATGTAGAAAACAAACTGAAAAGCTAATCCTATGGGGGAAAGCAGCTGATATGTTCACTTTGTTACATATATGTAAAGCAGCTGATATGTTACCTTTGTTACTTAAATAGTTAATGTTTTTCCCTTTGTGCTTTTAAACTAAACTTTCACCCTGGTTAATCTGGGGGTTTGCTTATATCAAGCAGGCTGAGGTTCTCAAAATTTTGCTAGTGTATTATTAATATCTGCTCTCTAAAATGAAAGTCACCACTGAATTCAAGTGTGTTCATTTTAGATACAGTTCCAAATTACTTTATAGTAAATACAGTAATTGTGTGTGTGCATATATAGTAATATATAATATATACTATAGTACATATAAAAAATAGCTCCAGCAAACAGCTAGTTATAAACCTGTCAGTTTCACCCTTATGAAAAATAAGATAAAATTACAAATGAATAATCGTACAATGATCTGGAGCACATCGTTCGTTTAGGCCCGGTTGTGCTTCCACTGAAACCAATGAAGTTGCAGTTAACTTTTAGGTGATTAAGTGGGTGAGAGGACATTGAGAAGCCTTGCAGATGGAAATCCCATCAACCCCTACATCAAATCATCTGCATTTCTGAAAGCGAAGAGCTGGATGGAGCGTGTTCCTGTGTCCTGTGGGAAGAGGGAATCCGTACCGGCCGCAGGAGGAGAGAGCCCTTGTTCCGGTATTTGGAAGAGTCCAGTTCTCAGGATGTTCACGGTAGCGATTTCCTTGGTAGCGCGTAAATGTGTATTTTTTGATTTACAAAGTACCTTTGGAGAGAGGCTGGTTCTACTTAAAGAGCAGGACTCGGGAAACACCATTTTGCTGCCCTGAACACAGTCAGATCAGCTTTATTTTCTTTTATTATGTTTTTTTTAACAAACACCTTATATCACATTTTTCCAGTAACAGCTATGTTCCAATATGTAGCCAAGTCTTTCTAAGGGGGAAGCTGCTATTACAGACTTTCTGATCAGACCGTCCAATTTCCAGCCAGTGCGTTGTGAAAGGAATGAAGCTCTAGAATACCCTTTCTCAGGATTTCCGTGGGGCTGCTCTGCCCCACCTCGCATCACACTGAAGGAACAGACTTAAATTCCCGCAGTGAGCTTCCCTGCTGGGCCACCAAGTTCAGAATTAGAGGGGAAGAAACACATCCTTTTTTCCATAACTGTTTTTCTAAGAACTGAGCGAGGCGGGTGTTGGCCTCACCCCTGGAATGCGGAAGCTTGAGCAGAAGTGTCTGTTCTTGGGATGTTTTTATGACTTCTGTAGCTGCCCAGTTAAACACAAGTGACAAAGGAAGCCTTGTAACTTCAGCAGGTGAGTCTGAATGGCCTTGCCCAGAACATCCCTTTGGCCTTTCAGTAAATATTAGCAGCCCAAAAAAATGCTATGTGACTCAACTTTCGGGCTGGCATCACCAGCGCCGCTGCCACGCGGACACCGACTTTACCTAATTGGAGGCACTGATGCTCTGTGGAGAGATCTTTAATAATTCTGTTTGTGTGTTTCCCAATTTTTAGAAGTCACTCCATCAATAGGATGAACCCTCCTCTCCAGTAACTGAATTCTTACAGACTGACAGAGGTTTAAAATGTGGTTTCCGCAGCCTAAATCCAAAGGCCAGGAAAGCCTTCCAAACAGGTTGTGTGGGTACAAAGTAAGCTCACCTCACAAAAATCCAATAAATGACTTTATTAAATATATTCTTTTCCTCTAAAATATAAATATTCACTATACTCTTATAAATGTGGAGTAGGTCCATATTTCATTTGTCTATCCCATCCAAATATGAATCAGTCCAAAATCTGAAAATGAAGAAATAACATCTGTAATTACTTTTTTTTTCTATAAATATATATAATATGAATTTTCTTTGCAAACTGTTTAGTTATTCACTTATACTTCATATAGTACTGAGCACCTTAGATTACATATTGTTTCATTTAATTGTTGGTACTAATATAGGAATTTGTAATATTTACAATGCACATACATGTTAGGTGTGACATTCCAGTGATTTGTAAGTGTTAAAGGAGCAAGGAAATAGTGCAGTATAGTTTACATATGTATTTAACCTACCCCACAGGATGCAAGATTTCACTTTAACCTCTGCAACTTTTACAGGAGCCTGCAGCCAGATTTTTTAAGTAAGTTAGACTTTGGAACAGCAAATAGAAGTGTCCTGAATTGCTTGTTAGAAACGTCACACAAGGTTTTATAAGATGCCATGATGTGAGTTCACACTCACCGACCCGGTCCCCACCGTACCCACTGCTCTCCGCTTCCCAGGAGTCTTCTCCTAGAAGCTTCCAGCCAAAGGAGACCCGAGTGACTGCCACAGGGAGATACGGGAACGGCAGCGGTCGCTAGATAAGAACTGTTTGGAAATTATTGGTAAGTTCTGTAACCTGTTATCCCCTGCCCTGGGAATTTACAAGAGGAATCAGTTTTTAGGTGCGAGTACCGTGACAGTGAAACCAGAGTTCCCAGCTCGGTGACTCCCCTCACGCGGTTGCTTTTGACTGGTGAGAGGGGCTGGGAGCGGGGCTGCTCGTCCAAATGGCAATTCAGCTGTTGGTCTTCAATGATTATTTTCTGCATATGCCAATTCAGCTCATCATCTTAATTTTTTAATTAGGTTTGATGATTAAGATACCTATGGAAACCACCATGAACTAATTCCTGTGCTGTGAATAAACAGCATGACTTACGCTTAACTCTGAGGACTTAGCTTAAAAATAACATGGAACCAAACTGTGGTTTTAATTTTCCTCTTTGCCAGCCAAGTGATGCTAAGTTGAAACTTATGTGCTTTCTCAGGAATAAATGAAGTGTTGTAATATGACAAGTGAGCTTTCACAAACTTTGGATTTATTACTTCCCGTACAGTTGCTGTCCTTCAAAGTGTGAATTTAGGGCAAAACTCTAAAAGCAAACAACCCCCAACCCCTATAGGTGGGAGTTCTGGTTACAAAGTAAAGGAGCAACATAAATGCCATCCCTGTTCTGCTGCTTTCTGTTCCTGCCAGACCACATTGAGCCAGTTGAGTGGCTCCAGGTGCAGGCTGTGTGTATCCTCTCCAATGGTGAAGGTTAGTGTTCCTGCCTGCTTCATGCCCAGCCTAACTGTGAAGAAGGCTGACACTCAGTGAATCACATGTTTTGACTTAAAAGAGTAAGTTTTGGTGCAAAACAGGAACTAGAAAGTTGTGGGTATGGAGGTGAACGTCTTACGTTTCAGCAGCAAGGAATAAATGTGGACTTGCCAAGTCACGCTCGCAGGAGCGGTTCCTTCCATGTGAAGGCTTTCCTGGCAGTGCAGCTCCTGTTCCTGCCCCGGTGTGTTTCCTCACTGCTGCGGAGCTGCTTCAGTAACTTTTCTGATCTAATCTAGGAAACTCTCAAAAAAATCAACCCTTCCTGCTTCCCCACATTTGTTCTTCTATGAAGACCACACAACCAGTCCTGTCAGAGCTGAGGGGGTGACACAGCAGGGGTAGGAGGACAGGAAGCTCAGCGTGGCTTTCTGTTGGAAAACTGCTGTGGCAATGTGCTGGCAGAAGCTTAGGTGGTATCTTTCACCTGAGCTGAGGATCCTGGGCAGCTGGAACTCATTAAGCCTTTCTGGGAAGTCACTATAAAAATTAACAAAGGATGCTCCTCCCTGTGCCCCCTGACAGCCAGCTCTCAATACAGCGCTATTGCTAGTCTTGCTTTGGGTCCATGCTAGGAATGTATGTAAGATGTCTGTCATTTTATTTTTGAAGTCCTCAGCAGGGACCCTCCAGCTGTTTGCTGCTCACAGCTGTATATTTGTGTGCTCTGCTGGGTGTTCAAGCAACAGGTTCTGATGGTGCCACAAAAGAAAAGTCTTCTGTAAGCGGTGCACAGGTGAGCACAGAAAAAAATATTTTACTTTTGGGTGGTGGGACAATCTGGTTTGGAGAACCTCTGCTCAACCAACCTTGAGCTTGCATCACAACCAACATCACCTCTTGTCTTCTTAGCCCTTTACTTATTCTATATAAACAAGTACATTGAAATAGGCACAATTTATGATTCTGAAACATTTACATGTATGGTACTACACGCTTTTACTGTCTCACATGGGATTTTAAAAATCCCATTATTTACAATGAAATCCACTGTTTTCCTTGTCATGCCACCTCTTTAGCTGATGAGAATGGAACCCGGGCCTTGGAAGACTGCAGAAATGACCAGGGCCCGGTCCTGAACCCCAAGGTGGTGTGTGCTGCTACTGGTACGGGCTCTGCTGTTGACTGTCCTTCAGATTAGCATGGTCACGCCGTCTGTCTGCAGAAACAGATGTGTCCTGCTCATGCCACCAAGCCAAGTCTTGTAATCTTTGCCGACAGGAAGGAATGAATGATGAACACAATTGGTTTTGGACAGGAATGAAGGTCCAGTTGCTGAAAGTACAGAAAGAAATCAAGTTGAGAATGATTAGATTAGATTGCAGCTCAAATAAGCAATCATTTACAGAATACTTGATTTGCCGCCTGGTATTTTCACAGACTTCTATTAATAACAACCCTTTATTACAACATATTGTCTTTTCTTTGCGTACAGCTGCAAATATTTAGGTTACTAAAAGTAAGTAATAAGCATTTCGAGAGCAGATGAGATGCTGGTGCCTCCAGGCTTGCATCCCCCTGGGTACGCAGCAGCAACCTGAGCAAGATGCTGCAAGCGGTCTTCCAGGAGGTTTGACCTCTCCATCTTTTGGGGCTCTGTTTCCAAGCAGGGATGGTGTGTCCAATACCCAGTGCATCTGCTGTTGGCCACTGCTGAAGGGAGGACACTGGACCTTCAGCTGATGCTGCACAGTTGCTCCTCTGTTCACACAGGTGGCAGTGACACCGCACTGAGACTCTTACCCATAGTCAACGGTTCAGATGATCTCACCAGGAGCTTGCTAAGTGTGACAGCCTTGTCCGGGTGGACAGGAGGTTCAGCACTAGGTTCACATCAAAACAAACCAGATCTGCCTTTCCATCAGTCATGCATCAACTTGATGGAGAGCTAGTAACAAATTCCCTTCTGAAAGCCTGACAACAAGCAGTTCACAGAGTCCATGTTATCAAAGGTGATGTGAGGAATTAAGCACCCAGCGTGCTCAGGAACTGCTGGAAAAAATCTGTCAGGAACGACCATGTTTACATGCATAATTTATGCTAACTAAACTGCTTGTAGGAATAAGCACCTTATTTTTAGTCATTGTGACAGCATAGAGGCCTAAGCAGTTTGCACTACAGTTGTAGTTTTCCATTTCTTTCAGCAACTAGATGTTCAAAATGTCTAAAACAGAGCTTGTTGTCATAACAAAGTCCCTATGTGTTTGTTGGAATTAATACTATCTCATTCTTAAGTTCCTCTACCTGCAATCATTTAAGAAGTGAAATGGGTACATATAAAATTTTAAAATCTAGCTATGTAGAGCGCAATTTGTTCTTATATTTAAGAAAGCTGTGCATGGTTTTACCATTTTATCTCTCTTCTTAGTTATCTCATTCTAAAGCCGGATATTCATGCTGTACTAGATAGTATAGCATCTAAATACTGGTACTACTCAGCTGTTATTAGACTAGAATAGAGTATTTCAGTTGGAAGGGACCCACAACGATCATCTAGTCCAACTTCCATTAGTGCTTCTCCACCCCACAGCCTGAAGGACCACCAAAGAGATGGTATAATGTGCATCACGCTGCTAAACGCAGTACTTACAATTTCTCCATCCTTTCCTCCAAAGTCTAAATAAAGCATCCTTATCCCATCATCTGAGGACATTTTCAGTTTTTCGTAGGGATATTGTGCAATTGTCTTAGAGAAGGCACCATCTTGCGGTTCGGTTGTAAGAGAGAAGCCATGTTCGTAATGGATGGTCAGGCGGCACTCCTGGCTTTTGTATGTGCAAGCTGGAGAAGGAAACAAAGTTTAGACTTTAATGCCCTTAAAAGCAACAGCTTCCAATGCGCTGCAGATACCTGCGTCCCACATTTGATCACAACACTATCTTTTGGAAACAAACCTTTCCTGAAACTGGGCAAATCATGCTCTAACTGCACACCTGCAGATACGGAAAAACAACAGGAGCTGTTCTGTTGTGCAAGCTCCAAGGATGGTTTGTTAGTTGTGGTGTAAGCACACAGACTAAAATCATGCTTGGTAGTAACAAAACCCGTGTCAGTCCTTTCATTTTCTCACTGCATTCTTCATATCACAGTGTACATCTACGTGCTGACACAAAAACAATCTGCTGAAGTTTAAGAAGGCTCAGGCTGGCATTTCTTCCTTCCAAACCTTCACAAAGTCACAGCTACTCTTCTTCTTATGCCTGACATACATAGTCAAGATCAATAAATGTTGCACACAGCACACAAGAAAATTAGAAGCTGTAAAGGGTTTCCCTGAAGTATTTTGACAAAGATGAAGACACTCCTGAGTCCTCATTAGTGTTGTGGTAATTGAAAAAGGGCCCAGATGATTGTATATAATAGCTACTGCAGCAGAAAGTCTGCATCTTCCCCTCAGCTCAGAAACATGGGCCATGATCCAAATTAAAACATGAAGAGTTTAGGTGTTCGCATCCCAGATTCTCTTTTCCACCACTTTCCTGTGAACCATTCTGTCAAGAAGGGACCTTGGCACTGGGCTAAAAGCACCACGATAATAGAAGGGGCTGATGCCCTCCTGTTTTTTGAAAAGAAAGTCATCAACACCAATGGGCTGAGGAGATGGACATGCCTTTGAGGTGGTTCTCACATTTTCAGGCAATGAGTGGAGATAACGTTCAACTTGACCAGCCCTGTCAACTGGTGACCTAGTCAGGGAAGGACTTCCTAAATCCTGGGGGCACTCACAGGTGCAGCTGCAAAGCCCCAGAGCCACCTCATGTTAGCAGCTCCCTGGCCGAACGGGGCATCACCCCAGAGCATCTGCAGCCAATTACCTTTATTCCAGTTGACTTTGCATGTAGCAAAAGTGACACCCTGGTGTCCAGAGAGGAAAATGACTAGCTGTTAAAATGTAGCTTTTGGACTAGTTTCTATTTTTTTTACTGTTAAGTGTGCAGAGCTGGGCAAATAAGCGACCAATTCACTCTTGTGAATGCGTTGGTCCTCATCTGCCTCCTCCCTCTGCAGGAGAAACCCCCACTAGGTTCTCAGGGGTCTCCCGATTCTCAGAAAAGTGCTCTTTTCTGTGAGTTTCTCTGCCAGTCACTCCTCCATAACACACAGCCCTACATGGCTGACTACAGACTTGTGTCTGATCCATTAGTGCTTCTCCACCCCACAGCCTGAAGGACCACCAAAGAGATGGTATAATGTGCATCACGCTGCTAAACGCAGTACTTACAATTTCTCCATCCTTTCCTCCAAAGTCTAAATAAAGCATCCTTATCCCATCATCTGAGGACATTTTCAGTTTTTCGTAGGGATATTGTGCAATTGTCTTAGAGAAGGCACCATCTTGCGGTTCGGTTGTAAGAGAGAAGCCATGTTCGTAATGGATGGTCAGGCGGCACTCCTGGCTTTTGTATGTGCAAGCTGGAGAAGGAAACAAAGTTTAGACTTTAATGCCCTTAAAAGCAACAGCTTCCAATGCGCTGCAGATACCTGCGTCCCACATTTGATCACAACACTATCTTTTGGAAACAAACCTTTCCTGAAACTGGGCAAATCATGCTCTAACTGCACACCTGCAGATACGGAAAAACAACAGGAGCTGTTCTGTTGTGCAAGCTCCAAGGATGGTTTGTTAGTTGTGGTGTAAGCACACAGACTAAAATCATGCTTGGTAGTAACAAAACCCGTGTCAGTCCTTTCATTTTCTCACTGCATTCTTCATATCACAGTGTACATCTACGTGCTGACACAAAAACAATCTGCTGAAGTTTAAGAAGGCTCAGGCTGGCATTTCTTCCTTCCAAACCTTCACAAAGTCACAGCTACTCTTCTTCTTATGCCTGACATACATAGTCAAGATCAATAAATGTTGCACACAGCACACAAGAAAATTAGAAGCTGTAAAGGGTTTCCCTGAAGTATTTTGACAAAGATGAAGACACTCCTGAGTCCTCATTAGTGTTGTGGTAATTGAAAAAGGGCCCAGATGATTGTATATAATAGCTACTGCAGCAGAAAGTCTGCATCTTCCCCTCAGCTCAGAAACATGGGCCATGATCCAAATTAAAACATGAAGAGTTTAGGTGTTCGCATCCCAGATTCTCTTTTCCACCACTTTCCTGTGAACCATTCTGTCAAGAAGGGACCTTGGCACTGGGCTAAAAGCACCACGATAATAGAAGGGGCTGATGCCCTCCTGTTTTTTGAAAAGAAAGTCATCAACACCAATGGGCTGAGGAGATGGACATGCCTTTGAGGTGGTTCTCACATTTTCAGGCAATGAGTGGAGATAACGTTCAACTTGACCAGCCCTGTCAACTGGTGACCTAGTCAGGGAAGGACTTCCTAAATCCTGGGGGCACTCACAGGTGCAGCTGCAAAGCCCCAGAGCCACCTCATGTTAGCAGCTCCCTGGCCGAACGGGGCATCACCCCAGAGCATCTGCAGCCAATTACCTTTATTCCAGTTGACTTTGCATGTAGCAAAAGTGACACCCTGGTGTCCAGAGAGGAAAATGACTAGCTGTTAAAATGTAGCTTTTGGACTAGTTTCTATTTTTTTTACTGTTAAGTGTGCAGAGCTGGGCAAATAAGCGACCAATTCACTCTTGTGAATGCGTTGGTCCTCATCTGCCTCCTCCCTCTGCAGGAGAAACCCCCACTAGGTTCTCAGGGGTCTCCCGATTCTCAGAAAAGTGCTCTTTTCTGTGAGTTTCTCTGCCAGTCACTCCTCCATAACACACAGCCCTACATGGCTGACTACAGACTTGTGTCTGAAACAACGTGCCAAAAACAAGACCAAAAGTCAGAATGAAAGGGACTGTGTCACTGGCCACAGGTACCACACCAGATGAGACTGGCTCAGAAAGCAAGGGGACAATATCTTAAACACATAGAGCCCTAAATACCCACATTTTTTGAAATGAATCACCTCTAGCAGAAGGAACTTGAACTACCCCTGAGTGTCACAAGGAGGTGTGAAGCTCTGCCACCCCGGCTGTTACTCACACGTGGTGATTTCCGTGATGAGCTCTGCAGAGTTGTGGCAGCCCTGCACCACGCTCCTCGTCCACAGGGAGAGGTCTCGGCTCGTCTCCGTCCGGAACAGATGGGTTTCGATCCCTTGCCTTGTACCCGTTCGGGTCGCGAAAGACAAGTCCACCCCGGACTGAGGTGAGCCTTTTCCTGGGCCAGAATGGACCAACCTGCAATTGGATTTGAAAACACATCAGAGAATTATAACGCTGACACAGAGCACTGCGCCAAAATCTGCACCTGAGCACAGCTCTGAATGTTCCTAAATGCACACAGTTGGGAGCACCAGAACTCGCATCTTCTCTGTATTTGAGACTGAAGTGACTCCAGCGTGTACTGAAGCATTCAGACGTGCAGGTGATGATGGGGATGTCCCAGAGGGCCCTAAATTCCTAACTGATTGTAGAAAACACCCCTTTGGATGAGGAACTGAGAGAAATCCTCGACTGGTCTGTTGTGATGGGGTTTGGTGCACAGATACAAGCCCTCGCTCGGATGAGGCAGCTGAATCTGACTTTCACTGTCAGGCTGGAGTTGCCGTAAAGCTTAAATATCTGCAGATAAACTCAAGGATAAATGCTGTCAGATAAAGTTAGAAGTTCTGTAAAACATGCAGATGCCAAAGTACCATCTTCTACATGCTTTTCCCATAAAGAACCTGCAAAATACAAAATGCTGCGACTATTTGTAATCTGAAATTCTCTCACATTTTACTGCAATTAATTTTTTTTTTTTTTTGCCTGGCATCACGATCTCCCATGACCAGGAAGGGTTTCTTCATCTGAGCAAACACTAATTGCAAGGAATATTTTTGAGATAGAAAAGCTCATAATATTTAATTCTTCTTTAAGACTGTCCTTTTGGGCTTTTTTCCTGCAGAAGTGTGGACAGTGAATACAGAATTTGCTCAGGGACATGACACTGATTCAGCTGAAAAGAATAATCCAGAAGAGCTTTTCACTTTGGGACCCAGGCACTAACGCTCTGAGGGAGTCACAAAATGAAATCAGGGAAATTCTTCTGAAAAGCTTTTTTCTGTCTTGCGTATCCTGTTTCCCTTTCTATAGGCAAACAATATACTTCATATTAAACTGTAAAGTAAGTGTGTAGCATGGTAACAAAATACTTGTGCTGAAACATAAAACATTAGATTATACTAATCATCTACTGAATGCTAATTCACCCTCAAATTATTGTTTTGCAGCTGCCAGAGTAGTTGTCTGATAGCTGACACTGTAGAAGTATGCTATCAAACAGAGATGGTTTTTAACAGGAAAGAAAAAAAAAAGGCAGAAAGGAAAGCAAAAGCACAACTTCAGTTTTTCAGTTATTGAAACACTAACCATAGGGCACCTGAAGTTTTCCTCCATTCCCTGGCAGCCCATGCTGATATTTGGGATGTGCACTGTGCTGAACAGACGTGTCCCTCTTTCATACCCCACTAGAAGGTTTGCAAGATTTGTTCATGCTCAGGTTTGTGGTAACTTCCTTTGGATTTTGATCATCTACCTTGATTTCAGGGTCCTGTCAGGCAAGAGGCAGCGTACCCGGGGAGGTGCCACCACCCTCTCCAGATGCATTTTTTGCACTGGCATTTTAGGTTTTTCAGCATCTGGATGGCATGAAGATGTAATTTGCAAATTAAAGTATTTGTACACATCCAACATGAACCTTGTTTCTTACCTGCCTTCTCATTCTCATTCTTGTTATTAAAAATTCAGTTTCACTACTTAGAAATCATATTTAAAAATATGACTTCTAACCATGCTTTGCAAAATCATGCAGTTAAACATGAACTAGACAAATAGGCAGAGGGACGTTTGATAGCATTTATGTACCAGCTGTCAGCACTGATGGATTTGGGTACAAGTTAAAGGATTCCCAAGCTTTAATAAAGTGGCATTCACACAAGCTATTTCATCTACATAAAAGATATTTTATCCTGAAGACCACAAAAATACCTTTAAAGGCAACAGAATAGTCTTAGAAACTTCACAGAAGGCTTTCTCTCACCCCCGTCGCTCTGACTGTGGAGGCAGTTGTGTGCACAGTGCACCCTGCACCCCAGTGCTGAAAAGGCACCCCAGGCCAGCTCTGGAAACACTCACCCACAGTCCCTGGAGGTCACCGGGCTCCGTGGAGGTTTCTGAGGTGTCTGTGAGCACACAGGAGCCCAAACACGCTTCCCCAGAGCAGCCAGAGCCGCAAGAGGGCAGGAGAAGGTTGGTCACCACCACGTGTGCTTGCACAGAATGTAGATAGCAGGCAGCGGCTGTGAAAGGCAGCTCCAGAGAGACAGGGAAACACTTCTAATCTTCTCTAATTTCTCCCTTGTCTCTCTGTATTTCAGGGACCTTTTTGGCATTATTCTTTACAAACATGATAGCAAGATGGGTACGGTCAACCATGAAGTGCTGGGCGAGATGCACTGGGACTTACTTCTCATCCTAATGCTATGAAAAGAGTTTCTCCCATTTACTGCTACAGCAAAACCTAATGGCCTCTTCAAAAATCACCGTGAAACCAGCACTGACATTCAAAGCAAGTGTTCAGCTGCTCATTTGAGACTTACCTCAGAAGAGACTGTGAGACAAGTGCATCAACATGCAGCTCTGCCCAGTGCAAAGCCACTACCCTCTGACCTTTCATACGTTGAAACCACTCCTTTACCCCTGACTTAGTGTTTGAAACCTGCTCTGGAATGGCTGTACTCTTTGGAAACCGATGCACATGCTCTCAGCTCATCCAGGCTCTGCCCTGGGGGGAGCCACAACCACCCTCATTTCCCTGGGAAGAGGAGGGGGGAGTTTGCACAGCTTGCAGGCCACCTCGTACACCTTCCCCGGGTGCTCAGAAACCCCACTGCTCCCTGCCTGCCCCCCTTCTCCACTTCCACAGATGACTAATCAGTGTCCAAACTCCTTCCTCAACTTTCCACAGCATTAACTATCAAACTGCTGTAATACTTGCTGGTTACAGACCTCAGCTTCACACAAAAGCTACTTACCTGATCTTTAATCAGAGTCCAACATGGACTGTTTTATTATTATTATCATTTTTCATTTCATATCTGGCTACAATAGATAACGCAATATGATTGCAAGCATTTAAGATGTAATTACTTAAGCCCCATTCCCATGCTAGAGGGAGGCACTGTTATTCAGGCATAAGGAAACACTGAAACAGAGATTATGACAAAAAGGTCCTTGGAGTCAGGGCTACGAGCCAGCTGCTGTGCCTCCTGCTGCAGAGATTTAAAGGAACAACTTAAATCTCCTGATCTCAGTTTTATTTGAGCTATTACTTATATTCCGCACAAAGCTGGGAAAGACTGACTGGAAAATATTTTTAAGTCTTAATAGCATCCATAGGTTGAGGGCAAATTTATCAACAAACAGAAAGGGCATGTTGAAATTCTGCTGCTAAAATACTGTAAGAAGATTGTAATCCTTCTACCACTTTCCAATTTTCTCTGCTCATTATGTTTTGGGTAGATTAGGCATGACTCCGTACAGTATCTGGCACTGAAGTTTTCCAGTTTCAGCAGCTTTTCAAATATGCATTAGCTAAGCAAAAATGTTTTCCCAAGGACTCATAAAAATCTGAGAGATGGGAGCAGCCAAGATTACAACATGTGGTCTGCAAACTTTCCAGGTGAAAAGTTCTAAATTGCACTGATCAATGCGCAGAGGGGATTAAAAACCCCATCACGAGGAGGGTAATCACTGACCGAGCACGAGCGCAGCAGTTAATACCAACAGCAAACCCGGTGGATTTTTTTGGTATAAATGTACTCAGCGTGACAGATCATAAAAGCAGAAACCTGCAGGGTTTTAATCAAAATCATCCAAAACAGTAGGTGTGAAGATTTAGAGAATCTGTCCATTTATGTCATCTGCTCACCTTGGGGATTCATGTATTTCTATGTATTCATCAGACTGCAACTCCATTCTGAACATCACGTTCTGAGTATCCACTGTCTTTTTACCCAAGTGTTAAGTTCACAGTGATACTAGTAAGAAATCACAGAGACAGAACTGGAATCATTCTCAGGAGGTCACCCAGCACATCTCCCTTCCCAGAGCAGGCCTCATATGCCCACACGCTCCTGAGTTAGTGTTACCTGTCCATTAAAGTCTCTAGTGATGAGGACTGTGAAATTTTCCTACAGAATCTAATCCAGTACCTCACTGGCACACCAAGTTGTTCCCAGGACCAACCCCAAACCTCCCCTGCCACATATGCAGCCAACTATGTCCTGTTGTATCCACAGGGACCTGGAGAACATGCTCCCCTGTCCTCCTCATGGCTTCTCGTCTTCCTACTTGAAATCTATTGACATGTTTTCCATGGACTTCTCAAGTAAAACACCAAGGTCTCTTGAGTAATTCCCTACTGATAGTGTTTTCTAGGACTTACATTTGCAGTGCTTTCTTCTAGACGTCCCACAACTAACTGGCATCCTTTTGGAAATGCAATGCTGCACATGAAGGTGGGGCATCTCCTGAGGCTTTACTCATGCTCTGTAGCTAGGTTAGTTTAGATCACTACATCTGCCCAACAAGCAACACCTGCTATAACCCAAGATGATTGTTTTCTCAACAACAAAACACCATAGATTTAAGCAATATCACCAGATTGCCCAGATGCTCCCTGGCAGAGTAACTATTTTGTCAGTCATCCACCACCCCAAACCAGCACAGCTGATTATTCCCCAGCACTAAATTTCGCGGTTGTCCTGTCTGAACCACATTCCCATCTTTCTTGCAGACCATTTCCCCAGTCCATAAAGACCCTTCAGCAGCCTGAACCCCTGTCAAGAAACTTCTCATTCCCCTCCAGCCAGATTCCACTCACACAGGAATCCCATTGGACAGGGAGATGACTATCCCCACCCAAGGCAAGCCAGTCCACTCTCAAATCTGAACTCCTGGGAAAAAGTGATTAAGTAACAGGCCCTCTAAGAAGAGGACTTAGATTGGTTGATCCAGTAAATCGGTGCTCACTGATAATGGGCTGGTTATGCCCTCCAAAGGGCTGTCTGGACACGTGAAGACGTGTGGGCAGGAAGGGGCAGGGTGCATGGCAGGATCTCTGGTCACTTTAAGGAGGAGGATTTGGGTCCATGTACAAATGACACCCCAAAGCAGCAGGAAGAGCTGCATCACCTTCAGCTGGGGTGCTCTCTATCCACAAACCCTAAGGCCTTAGTGCCACACCTGGACACAGCCTCCAGCTCCAACACCTCACATAGTTTTCACTGGGACTTGTTACTTGGAATTGTCAACCTTCACCACCACAACATGCAGCAGGCTGCCTGGTGCAAAGCTTGGGGCTCTCACCTCATGTCACAGCACCACAGGGTGAGTCAGAGGCCAGCTTCCCAGGAAGCCTGAAAGCTCTATCACGGGTAGGTAGACTGGGACAAAGCAACCATCAGCATAATTCACTGAGCTTTTTTTTTTTTTTTTTTTTTTTTTATTATATGTCTTACACAAAAACTGATATTCAAATACAAGCCACCCATTGTTGTTATTAATAGCTTTTTTAATATAATGACTTAGCAGCAAAGCCCCAGTTCATTCAGGGAGAGAACTAAAAGACCAAGAACAGAAATTAACTAATGAGAGTGCAGTAAGAGACCCACTGCTTTTGGCCATGTGCTACCAGACCTTCTGAATGAGAACTCATTGAAAACGGTATAATAAAGGCCTGTAGCAAAGCCAAAACAATGGAATAGCAGCTCTTTCTCAAGCCCTTTGACCATACTGACAGAGAAATGTGATTAAGATTCACATCAAGAAGCACAGACATTTTCCACTGCATAAAGACAGCCATGGGAAAGCTCTCTCTGAATTAGTGTTGATGGATACCTTTGAAATAATAGAGATAGTTACTTCCAACCTAGACACAAAAATGTGTCTTCCAAGCATACCATTTTAAGCTAAAAAAGCCAGTAATTCGTTTTCTGAAGCTAGAACACAAGCTGTACTGAAATTAAGTGTCTCCATCACACATGCAAATCCCCAAAAGCCCCAAACCAGTGGTGCAGAACTGCCCCACCAGCACGTCCAACTCAGGGCAACAATTTCACATTTTTCAACCTGGAGGAGAGGCTGGAAATTTGCATGCTACTGCCAAGCCCTCAGGTCCACACAATGAGATAGAAATCTCAGGAGATTGACTTCTTGGCTTTTTCAGCACTCCTACCTCTGGATCTGGGCCAAATGGCTGCGCCCATAATCCTTCCGGTGTGCTTCTTGCCATCCAGAACTTAAAATGGAGGAGAAGTGAGGAGTTATGCTGAGCACATCGGCCCATTGAAGAAGAATCTGCTTCTCAAACCACAACATTTCAAATGTGATATATAACTGTGCACCAGCTATACCTCTTCCTGGCTGACTCTGCTATTCCCACTCTTTAAGTGGTTGTAATAAAAAAGCATGGGTACCTGGTGGCGAGCAGGGGGTAGGTATGCAGAGGGCTGAACCAAGCTTCCTTCATCCGCGGCATGCTCTCATATATTAAGAGGTCCTTCTCTGTCAAGACCACTAACACTGGCTTCCAGTGCTTCTCATTGTCTCCTGGTACCTGAAAAAGAGCGAAGTCTCAGTGAAGCAACAAGAGACAAAGCTATCATTGGGCAAAGCCTGACGATAGGAATGTGTCGGGTGAAATAATGAACAAAGGAGAGTTTTAGTTCTTTGGCTTTTTGACATCTCCCACCAGAATGTATAACCAGTTGCAGCAGAAAGGGAGTCAAGTGCAATGACATCTGCTGCTCTCATCAGCACTGCCATTTCCAGCCCTCCTTGCAGCCTTCCCTTACTACGGGCTACTCCATAAATGCAGTAGTGGAAGAACACTGAGACAGAGCTGGCTGTTATTTAGTTGTGGTATGCATGAAAGGACCTTAAACGTATATTTATAATGTGCACCATTCATGCATAGCTGGCACATTAACCTGTGTGCTGGACACTGCTTCTCCAGTTTCTATTTTCATGAGTGAAAAAAGCAGCAACACCATCACTATTAAAGAGTGTCAGACAGTAAAAAATAGTGGTTTGAGAGCAGATGCTTTTTTCCTCAGCAGTTCGTGTTTTCATTGCCTCTCCCTTCATACTGTTCTTTCAGTTTTACAAGTGCCAATTTGTAAAGAGATCCAACCTAAACATGGGGTTGATCTGAAGCATTGACTCAGTGACGGATCTCCATCTACATCTCAAACCCACCTGTAGATGTCTGAAGTCTGGGGCATCCAGAACCCTTTACTGGCTGCAGAACCCGGAGAAGGAAATACGTTTTGCAGGTTAGACATGTGGTTGCCCACATGGCTACACAATTACCATTAAGGGGAACAAGTATGAATCCTGCTTTTTCACTTATTCTACTCTGGCAGCATAGAAATATCTTAAAATAGGTAGGAATATGACAGGATCTTAGTTTCAAGTAAGAATGAAGCTCTTGTCTTTCACAGACAAATTCATCGGTTTCCTTTTGGTGCACGTAAGGAAAAAGAAACCCCATTACACAGTAACACTCACAGCTGTGATTTCAAACCTGGATATCTCAGCTGGGTACTAATGGAAATGAAACAAATTCTGAGATTCACCAGAGAATATGGTTTCTGCCTGACTCCTCCACTAAAACCTTCTCTGCGAAAGAGAAACTATGCTGTTCTATGGTTGATGCCACTGGGCACATCACTGGGTGGAGAAACACATATAAAGGATGAATCAAAAGTTGGCCAGGCTGGGCGAGCTACAGCCAGGAATGGTGATTCAGATCCCTAAGTACAACGTGCCTTCAGTGATGGATTCAGATAGACAACCACATTTGAAACACTTGTATTTTATATGAAGACAGGCTCCCACAAATTTCTAAACTTTTAAGGACTTTCAAGACAGTTGTAAGATAGCTTTGGGCCAGAACACCAATGCCCAAAGCAGATCTTAAACTAAGATTATAGCCTGCATAATTTTTAAGAGGTATATTTCCTTCTGAATTAAGCTTTTCCAATAATCATATTCCTGCTTACAGTGGTATTTACTCATTGGCTGTTCAAGTCTGTGTGTTAATCAACAAAGTCATAAACTGTTCTTCCTTTTAATTTCTTCAGAAGCATCAATAATTATTTACAATTTTCTTGTGGTGACAATTTCTTGAAACACAACCTTTCATTTTCAAACAGGGATGAATAGAGAAGCTGCGTAATTAACACACCTATTAATACACTCCAAAAGGAATGCAAAATCCAGAGTTCTTACAGCCTGTGTACCACAGAAATATTGACATGAACAAAAAGCATCCTTAGCTTCTTAATACCACAGTTATTAACTACTGTTAACATCCCAGTTCCTAGTGTGGAAATATAGAAATGTTAAGGTTAATGTTAACAATTAATTTTTGAGCACCTGCCTGTGTTCTTTAACTAGAAAGATTTTCGTACACACTTTTGCAGATTTTCAGAAAGGAAAAAGAAAGATAAATACAAAATCTCTCATAGGAAGAAAAAGCAGGATGTTCAGATCCCTAATCCGGAAGAGTAAGCAGGCAGCGTACGGGGTTGTTACTTCTTATTTTTCAGTCCTGTGACAATAGGCAATACAAAGACTATGGGAAGCTGCTCACAGCTTTTCTGCAGAACCATCCTGCCAGTGTAGTATTTTCAATCACAAGCTTTGCTATTAGGTGGCTGGTCAGCCAACTGTGACTCCAGAAAATTTAGGAACCGCTGTTCCCTGTAAACCAACCACAAGAAAGGGAATAAAACTCATTTTGCCAGCTGGTCCCACAACTATTTGCTGGTCAGCTGCGAACATCAGGAGCAAAAATTTCCAGCATGGATCCTGTGGTTACCACCTGCACGGCAAAGCCCACAGCTTTGCCCCAGCCCTTCCCAGTAGCAGAGTGACTACGGAGAAGATGTAGCACAGTCATAAGATATTGAAGTCTCCTTCTCAAATACAAGTGACCTTATGCTATGTATCCTTGTAGGACATATCCCCTGTATACTGGGGGTATACTGGGCAGGGGAGAGAGGAGAAGAATGTCTGCCTGCGTCCTGCTAGGAAGACCTCCCCAGTAAGGAGGGCCATGCAATACACACACTTATAATCACATTTTTTCAAACCTTGCTGGGACCACAGCCGTCTCACTGGTAAGGAATGCTGGTGTAAGCAATACTGCTGCTATTTCAGACTTGAAGAAGGATTTGTGTGTCTGGAAGCTTGTCCGTTTTCTTCCAACTGTAACAGCTGATCTAATAAAAGATACTGCCTTTCCTTAAAAACCTTGAATTGCCTTACTGTTCCCTGATTTTGCTGGGGTTTGGATCAGGCTTTAATAGCTGATGCCGTGCTGTTCAACAGGCAGTTGGCACTTCTGGAAGGCGTCAAAGAGAACACGCTGTCCCGTAAATGGTAATAAGAAATTTTACAAAGGAAGAAGAGAGGCTGCAAATATAGCATTAGCCTGCAGGGCACATTCAGAACAAATCAGCATGGGAAATTAATCCAGATCAAGCAAGTGTCATACCAAGCACGAGTAAAATAGCAAAAGAAAAGAAAAGCAAAATACGTGTTGCTTACGGGCAGTTAAGTGACAGAGTTGTTCAAATTTTAAACGTTTTAAAATCTGACTAATCACAAAGATAACATGAAATACCTTTCTAAGAGTATATTTAAGTACCAGTTGAGATACATTTTAGAGTAACACTTTCAGATGATGGTTAGGGCCAGCTTCGTAGCCAGAGTTTCACAGAGATCTGGCATTTGCGCGAGTTTCTTTGCTTCAGTTCCCACTTGCACACATACAATTCAAAGAGCATTGATCTGTGTTGCACAGCCATCCACTCAAAAAACTTTTCAAACTCAACCCTTTTTCAAAATCCAAAATTTTAGATCCGATCTAGATGAAATAAAGAAAAGAAAAACCAGTACTCCTCAAACCTCCCACAACAATAAAATCAATCAGTACATTTTTTGCTGGGCACTGATCAGGCAACTCCAAGAAGTACCAGTGCCTCCTCTCCACGCTCAGGTCATCTCAGCTGAGGTTACTGCTCAGCTGGTGAAATTCCACTTCAAGACAATGAAGCTGTAAATGTTTATAACAGCAGCAAAGTTGTTTTTTCCCTTTCCTAGACACACTGTGCCTCTAGATCAAAGTCTTCAAGTACAAACCTGACAAGGGAGAACATATTCTAACAAAACAACCCCAAGTGCGGTGAAGCATCCTTTTTGCTACTCGCAAACCTCTTTGCTCCGTGTATATTCACCCTGTCAAGTGCATGGCCCTCTTTTTCCCATTTGCACCTCTCTGTTTTGCCTTTCCAAAGTCAGAAAATATTTCATGTATAGCAGGGATGAAACTCGTGTACAACAACGTGGTGACTGAGCCTGAGGTAACACCAGAGGAGACCTGTGTTCACATCTTGTGCAGCCACAGGCTTCCTCTGCAAAGTCAGTCTGAATGCTCTGCGTTTCCATACAGACACGGTGGTGTCTGCTGGGACAGCAAGTGCTGCTGTAACACACACAGTACAGTGTAGACATGCAAAGGTGGACAAGAAGCGCCAAGGGCGGCTGCTGTATTTCAGCAACTACATAGAGAGACTTGTCCTTCAGCCTTTGGCTGACACGAGAGCAGAAGTGCTTCGATGCAGAGGGCAGGCAGATCAGGCAGTGTTAGGACACACCAGACCCCACCGCAGTGAGGATGCACCTGAGCTCTGGCTGCTTCTGGCTGCCTTTGCAGCAGTGGGGCAGCATCGCTCCAGGCTTTGCTTTAGGGCCTGATCTGCAGCCTGAAGGCCTGGCTCTGGAAATAACCCCATAGCAAGCTCAACGCCACCTGTACGGCTGCTCCTGCTGGTTTTCTGGCAACTGCTCACGTGCTTAAGGCCACTGCTTGCAATGTGCCCTTAAAGTGTAACTCCTCTGATACATAACACAGTATTTCAAAGAAAAGCCAGCTTGTTTTTCCTGCAGGCAATGGGGACCCCTGGCCCCTTTAATGGATATCACAGCTTCCAAATCTTTAATAGTTTTCACATATAATTAGTTGCCAGAAAGGCAATAGGCATCTCAATGGAGATAAATCCTTTCACAAACCATTTGGCCCTTTGCTCTTTCATCTGCCAGGTCTCCTTTTCGTAAGGTTTTTCTTTGAATTTCAGTTATTCAACTACTTCAGGCTGCCAGGAATGGATGAAAGGATACTTTTAATCTATGAGGCTCACAGATAATTAAATTAGAGGCCTCAGTCTACTCTGGAAAGCCGTTTTGTGTTTTCATTAACTCTAAAGGGACATTTCAATTACATTCCCTGTTTAGTAAACAAATTATATATTACCAGGAGACTCCACTGCAGCAAGTATCCAAAAATGCGGCCTTTCGGAGAATCACTGCTAAGGCAGCAAGTTTACACTTACAGTAAGTGGTTTAACTCCATTTTCCATCATCCCCTTCCTGAATCTCAGAGCTACACTACCCCTCACACAGAGCACAGGAGGAGCAACCAAGAAAGAGCTTTCTGAAACTTTTTACTTGCTATTTTCTCTCCTCCCTCACTTAATATCTCTTCATGCT